TCAGCAAAAGAAACTGGAAATGGAGGTGTGGTTCAAGTAGTGGAGCACCAGTGTTGAGTGAAATAGTTATAGGAGAATGACCAGGCCCTGAGTTCAAGCCCTAGCACCAGCACACATACACACACACTTACAGTGTGAGTTCAAGTCCTAGCACCAGCGCACACGCGTGCACATACACACATACTTACAGTGTGACCCAAAAAGTCTTCCAAAAGAAATGAAGACACCCACACAAGATTTATAAGCAGTGATCTTATGGAGTATTATTCATCATAGTGAAAATTAGCAACAGTCTAAAGGTCCTTCTAGAGGGTCAGTGGATAGGCACAATTTAGTATATAATGGAGTATTATTCAAAAATTGAAAGAGGGGGCTGGAAAGGTGGCTTAGTGGTAGAGCGCTTGCCTTGCATGCCTGAGGCCCTGGGTTCAGCACCACATAAGCAAAAAGAAAAAAGCTAGAAGTGGCGCTGTGGCTCAAGTGGTAGAGCGCTAGCCTTGAGCTGAAGAGCTGAGGGACAGCGCCCAGTCCCAGAATTCAGGCCCCACAACCGGACCCAAAAAAAAAAAAATTGAAAGAGATTACTGAATATGCTCCAACTTATCTGTACCTAGCTACCTACCTTGGCATATATGAGGATGCTCTGAGTCTTTCAAAGCATGCTCAGTGAAAAAAGCCAGGGACCTTCATGCAAAGGTTGAATCATACAAGGGACCTGGTAGGCAGAGGGTGCACTGATTTTCTGGGATCGCAAGAGAGAAGCTGAGTGTTAGCAGTGCGAGGGCGTGAGGGGGCTGTGGAGTGGGTGGAAGCATTCCAAACTGACTCGTAATGTGGTGGCACAACTTGGCCAATCTACTTTAAAAAATGATTGCATTTTACACTTGGAAAGGGCAAGGTACAGATGTGCAAAATGTGACCGATAAACTTATGGAATTAGAAAGTAAGCAAATTCTTGAGGCAAGAAATAGATCTGGGGTGTATCCGCTGAAAAAGCAAAACAGCCAAGATGGTGTCTTTGTAGGTAGCTGTGGGGAACATAGGAAGGAAGAAAGAGATTAAGGACTGTCCTGAACTTTGTACCTGTTCCAGAATGGATTTAGAGCTAATATCGTTAGAGAGAGCTCGCTAGAACCACAAGCATCTGTGGCCATGCTAGCACATTTGCCAGCAGTCCTCCTATTACAGTCATACTGAACATCTACTGCTGGGCTTAAGTCACATGACAGAAAGTAGCTGACCCAGTACTTGCTCTTGAATGGGTCCTAAAAAAGTAATGCTGGATTTTATTAGAGGAGCTTAGTAACTGCACAGCAGCCCAAAAGTTGTGCAGCTGAAGTATTTATTATCTCAATTTCTGTCAGGAATTCCACAGAGATCTAGTTGAGTCATTCATTCTGGCTCACCATCCTGCGTGAGGTCACTTCACACACCTGGTAGCTGAGCTCCAGTCGCTTGCCGACCTAACCTGGGTTCATGCAGCTGGCAGGCAGTTTGGTGCTTGCTTGCTGATTGTGGAAAGGCCTCTGTTCTGCCATGTGTGGGCAACTATGCTTGATCGCCTCATAGGAAGGAGCTGCTGGCTCTTCAGGGAGAGCGAGTAGGCCAAGAGGAGAAGACTGAGTCCCGGTTGCTTCTCTATCCTGGCCTTGGATGTCACGTTGTCTTCTCTGCCATACTCTCACTAGTTGCCCAAGTAGAACTAATTCAGAGCAGATTCAGCGAAATAGTGGGAAGTGAGAATTTTGCTGGTGCCATCTTGGAGACTTGGCTACAAAGGGGTGAATAGGAGATTAGGTGGTTGTTTTCGTGGCATGTATTAATTTGCATCTTTCTTTTCAGTAGGTCTCTATCATTATCATTGCAATTTTAGAGTTTTTTTGTTCATCTGTTCTGGTGGTACTGGTTCATCTGTTCTTGCTTGGCCTTACATTTGCTAGGTAGACACCGTGTTTTGTGGGATTCGCCTCAGACCTTTTGCATTTTAGTTTATTTTTCAGGTTAGGGTCCCAGGCTTTTGTTTGGGCCAGCCTCAAACTCCATACCCTTTCCTACCTCCTGGGTAACTAGGATTACAGGTCTGTATAGCCCACATTTAGTAGGTTTGTAATAGTGCTTCTTAATGAAAAATGTCTAGTTTCTGTTTGTTGTTTTCATACCGTTCTTATTTGATGATTGCCTTTTAATTTTCAAAAGATAAGAGCTAAAAACTTGGACCAAGCTGCACATGGTGGTGCACACACACTTGTAATCCCAGCTCAGGAAGCTGAGGCAGGAGGATTATGAATTTGAGGCCAACCTGGGCTATGTAGGGAGACTCAGTCTCAAAAATCACACCAAAAAAAGAAAAAAAAGAAATGTACTCATTACCTTGCTCATGTAAATGTTACCCCTCTGTATGGTATTTTCACAATTAAAAAATGAAAAAAAATAATAAATTTGACAATTTATATAGAACAAAGAACATTAGAAATAAAGGCACACAGGGGAAACTAACAGTAGGAGGTATTTTATAAAAAAAAAAAAATCACACCAAACAAACATACCACCAGAAATATAGCCAAAACATCAGCCTCTTGTCCAACCCCCCAGGTTTTTGTTTTTGCTTTTGTTTTTGTCAGTTGTAGGGCTTGAACTCTGGGCCTGGGCACTGTCTCTGAGCTGCTCAGCTCAAAGCTAGTGCTCTACCAGTTGAGCCACAGCGCCCCTTCTGGTTTTCTGGTGGTTAATTGGGGATAAGAGTCTTACAGACTTTCCTGCCCGGGTTGGCTTTGAACTGTGATCCTCAGATCTCAGCCTCCTAAGTAGCTAGGATGACAGGTGTGAGCCACCTGCACCCGGCCTCCCCAGTTTTCTTAGCTGTTGTCTTTAGTAATTTTTTCCATATTATTAGTCTTGCTTCTACTGCTTTTTCTTGATTTTTTTTCTTTTTCAGTTTTGGACTTTAGAAAGTTTGATACCAATCTTTTACACTCTTCCATATACCTCATCGATAGTTTTTTTAAAATTATTATTATAAATTACAAAGGGGTTACAGTGACAAGTCAGGTAAAGAGTACATTTGGACAGTGTTACCCTTTCCCTTGCTTTCTCCCAGTTTCCCCTCCAATCTCCACCCACAAATAGTACAGTTTATTTTCTCATAAATTGTTTATTATCACTATAAATCCCATCAAGTCCATGTAGTGAAAGATTGTTGTACTGTGCAGCTTCATATTTTTCATGGAAAATGATTATCCTTTTGAAGGATATATTAATTATATACAGTAAGGGTTTTCATTGTGATTTTTGATTGTTCAAAACAAGCATGTAATTTACTTTGACTATTGTGTACCACTCTATTACTTTTTTTTTTTTTTTTGTGAGAATACCATACAAAGGAGTTACAATTACATGGGCAAGATAACGAATACATTTCTTATCAAGCATTGTTGCCTCCTCTTTTTTTTTTTTTTTGGGTCCAGTCATGGGGCCTGAACTCTGGGCCTGGGCGCTGTCCCTCAGCTCTTCAGCTCAAGGCTAGCGCTCTACCACTTGAGCCACAGCGCCACTTCCAGCTTTTTTCTTTTTGCTTATGTGGTGCTGAGGAATCAAACCCAGGGCCTCATACATGCAAGGCAAGCACTCTACCATTGAGCCACCTTCCCAGCCCCCAGCCTATAAGTTTTTAACTCTGTCTTTTTATTGGCTTTGGGAACAGGAAAGTCAAAATGAAATCATGAGTGGCATTATATTCCATGTTGACCAGCTAAAAAGTGATTGGGGGCAGGGGGGGCGGGCAGTCCTGGGGCTTAAACTCAGGCTGGGCATTGTCCCTGTTTCTTTTGCTCAAGGCTAGCGCTCTACTATTTGAGCCACAGCACCACTTGTGGCTTTTTCTATGTATGTGATACTGAGGAACCAATCCCAGGGCTTCATGCATGCTAGGCAAACACTCTATCACCAAGCCACATTCCCAGCTGAATTTTTTTTTATTTCAATAAATATTATTTTATATGATCAGAGACACATAGGCATTGTGCCTTTGTTTGTCCCCTAAGAATGTTCTTTGGTTTCACTCTGTGTTAATGCCTAGAATACTATATAATTTATCATGTCCTATTGTGTTTAGATCTAGCTTCTGCAAATGAGAGTATCTCTGAACTTGACTTACCAAACTTAACGTGATTTGTTCTAGGTCCATCCGTTTCCCTGCAAACAATATAATATTCTTACTAATGGCTGTGTAAAATTTCACTGTGTTTAGGTACCACTTTTTTTTAACTGGTCCTGGGGCTCGAACTCAGGACCTGGACACTGTCCCTGAGTTCTTTTGCTCAAGGCTAGCACTCTACCACTTTGAGCCACAGCTCAATTTCTGGTTTTCTGGTAGTTAATTGGAGTCTCGGGGAAACTTAATGCCTAGGGGGGCTTCAAACAGAAATCCTCAGATCTCAGCCTCCTGAGTAGCTAGGATGACAGGCACGAGCCACCAACACCTGGCAGGTACCACATTTTTTTTTTTATCCAAAAATGAATGGGAGAATAGAGCCTTTTTATCTCTTTGCTATTATAATTTCTTTTTTTTTGTCGGTCGTGGGGCTTGAACTCTGGGCCTGGGCGCTGTCCCTCAGCTCTTCAGCTCAAGGCTAGAGCTCTACCACTTGAGCTACAGTGCCACTTCCGGTTTTCTGAGTGTTTATTGGAGATAAGAGTTTCACAGACTTTCCTGCCTGGGCTGGCTTTGAACCACGATCCTTAGATCTCAGCCTCCTGAGTAGCTAGGATTACAGGCGTGAGCCACCAGCGCCTGGCTGCTATTATAATTTCTAAAATACAATTTTTTTTTTATTAAGGTGTTGTACAGAGGGGTTACCACTTCCTAAGTCAAGTAATGAGTATACTTCTTTTGGGGGGCAATGTCCCCCCTTCCTTTGCTCTCTCCCGCTGTTGTAATTTTTACAATGCATAGATACATGTAAATAACCTCTTCCTAATTGTAACATTTTCTCTTAAACCAGATGTTCTGCCTTACTCAATACGGGTCCTGTTGGAAGCTGCTGTGCGAAACTGTGATGGCTTTTTCATGAAAAGGGAAGATGTCATGAACATTTTAGACTGGAAAACCAAACAGCGCAATGTTGAAGTGCCCCTTTTCCCTGCCCGTGTCCTTCTCCAGGATTTCACGTGAGTGATGCATTCATCGTTCATGAATGAATCTCATGATGTCTTTGAAAAATATAATCCCTAATGTTTGATTTTGGCTCATATGTCAGTTGAGAGGAGTCGCGCTTTATGAATAAAAGCATTGCACTGAGAATAGGTAGCTGTGTCTGTGACATTGAAGCGCCTTCTCCTCCATGGTCTGTGGCCATCCCCACAGACACCAACTTTCTCAAACCCCGGTCTCGTCATAGTCAGCTCACACATATTAGCTGTCCTTCTAAGTCTTCTGTGCCGGAAATCTAGGGAATCATCTTGGTCCTTCTCTTAATACCCTGTAACCAGACAGGTAGCAATTTTGTCAGTGTTACCTCTCCAAATATTTCTTTTTTTTTTCTTTCTTTTTTTTATTATGAAAATACTGTACAGAGGGGTTACAATTACATGGGCAAGATCATGAGTACATTTCTTACCAAGCATTGCAGCCTCTACCCCCTCCAAATATTTCTAATCATCTTTATCACTGTCACACTGGTTCTAGCTCCATTTTCATCTCTCTTGATTCCCTTTTTTTTCTTTCTCTTTGTGGCTGTACTGGTGTTTGGGGATTGAACCCACAACATGCTAGGCAGGTACTTTGATACTTAAGCCATGCCCACACCTTTTTTGTTTTAGTTATCTTTAGGGTAAGATATCTTCATTTTTGTCCCAGGGCCATCTAACATCTGTGGAGTTTGAAATACAGACATGTCAACAGGCCTTCATAGAATCCGTTATTTGTGGCTTGTCCAAAGACTATTCCATAGTTTCAGCAAGTAAACAAAAGGGGCCATCTTAGGTTTATTTATTTATTTATAACAATATAAAAAAAAAAAAGAAATACAGGCATGTGCCACCACTCTTGGCCTGTTTTCTGTTTGTTTGGGTTTTTTTTGTTGGTCATGGGGCTTGAACTCTGGGTCTGGATGCTGTTGCTTAGTGCTCTACCGCTTGAGTCACAGCACCACTTCTGGCTTTCTGGTGGTTTATTGGCGATAAGAGTCTCACAGACTTTCCTGCCCAGTCTGGCTTTGAACCGTGATCCTCAGATATTCAGCCTTTTTAGTAGCTAAGATTACAGGTATGAGCCACCAGTAGCCGGCTATTGACCTGTTTTTTTTTTTTTGGTCTGGTTGTGGGGCCTGAACTCGGCCTGAGCGCTGTCCCTCAGCTCTTCAGTTCAAGGCTAGCGCTCTACCACTTGAGCCACAGCGCCACTTCCAGCTTTTTTCTTTTTGCTTATGTGGTGCTAAGGAATCGAACCCAGGGCCTCATGCCTGCAAAGCTAGTGCTCTACCACTGAGCCACCTTCCCAGCCCTTGACCTGTTTTTTTTTGTTTTTTTTTTGTCGGTCGTGGGGCTTGAACTCTGGGCCTGGGCGCTGTCCCTCAGTTCTTCAGCTCAAGGCGAGCACTCTACCACTAGAGCTACAGCGCCACTTCCTGTTTTCTGGTGGTTTATTGGAGATAGGAGTCTCATGGTCTCTCCTGCCCGGGCTGGCTTTGAACAGAGATCCTCAGATCTCAGCCTCCTAGTAGCTAGGATTACAGGTGTGAGCCACCAGCGCCCAGCTTTGACCTGTTTTTTGAGATGGGCTCTAACTTTTTGTCTTGGCTGGTCTCAAGCTGTGATTTTCCCTTATCTCCATCTTGTATGTAGCTGGAATTAAAGGCATGAACCAGGGTTCCCTGCTCTTTTTGCTCTTGCCTAGATGGTAACTGCTGCAGTGGTCTCTTACCTGGTATCCTTGCTTCCACGTTTACATCTGCAGTCTACTCTTTACACAGTAGATGGTGGGCCTAGTTAAAAATGCTGAGTGGGTCACACCATTTTTCCACACCCACATGGCTTCCATCCCATGTAGGATAAAGTACAAAGGGTCTTGGAAGACTGTCTGATCTGGGTGTCCAGAGATTATTTATTAGAAGAGTTCAGCATAAGCTAGGTTTTGAAGGCGCCTGGGGTTGGGTAGCCAGTCCCGTCTCCCATCAGAGTCTGGTTCATGTGCCCTGCTCCATGTGTCCATAATGCTGCCACTGTAATAGTTCAGGGAGTATTCTGCAATTGGTATTTGAGCTATGGTATGGCAACAGCTCGACACTGAAGGCTGCTCATCCTTGCTGTGTAGTAAGCTGTATGTATGGAGAGGTGTATGTAGAGTGGAAAACAAGGGTGGGTATCTTTGAGGCAACATACAAGCATTTGGGGAAAAGAGCCTCCACCTAGGAAAAAAGGGAAAGAGCTTCAGAAACTGGAAGGCAAGCAGGAATGGGGAGGAGCAGGGTGGGGTGGGGTGGAGGGCACTCAGGACCCTGAGACAGGAGGATAAGGAGGATAAGGCTTTGTAGTAAGATCTTGTCTCAAAGGAAGAAAAGCAAAACAGTAGGAAAAACTTGAACACAAAAGGAAAGATTTCTGCAGGCAGTCCTTCGATGATTACTTACATTTACAGAAATCATGTCTTTGGGGTTAGATGAGTAGAGAAATGAAGAAGAAGTGAATGCAGCTATAATATTCCATTACATATGTGAAAATGGAACCAGGTAACGAGGGGTGAGAGATGGGGGAAGACAGTGATCAAGATGCATTATACTCACAGACTGTCACACTGAAACCCCTTTGTATGATTGCTTAAGAAGAATAAAAAAAAAAAAAAGATAAATAAAGATGATATGTTTTGTTATTTGGGGGACATTCACCCCAGAGTACTCAAGTTCTCAGATAATATTTCATGTTAATTTTCATTACACCAGAGTCCATCCTCCTTTAGAGCATAAGTACATGATCAGAAATGAATACAAATGAAGTCAGGCTTGGTATCTTACGCCGTAATCCCCGCTACTTGGGAGATTAAATTTAAAGGACTACATATACTTTGAGAGCAGCCCAGACAAAAACTTAGTGAGACCCTATCCCAGCAAAATAAGTCAAGTTCGGTGATATGCTTCTGTAACCCTACTTTGTGATATGTGTAGGTCAGAAAATTATGGTTTAGGCTGGCCAAAGCAAAAATGCAAGATAAAGTGCTAAATAACATGTAAAGGTCTTGATATATGGCTTATGCAGTAGAATTACCTGCCTTAAGTGTGAGGCCTTGAGTTCAAATCCCAGTAATTTCCCTCTCAACAACAAATAATCCAAACTAAGAAGAGGTACTTTTTAAAAATTAAAATGAGTGTGTACATGTTAGCCATTTTCTTTTTTTGTCCGTTGTGGGGCTTGAACTCTGGGCCTGGGCGCTGTCCCTCAGCTCTTCTGCTCAAGGCTAGCACTCTACCACTTGAGCCACAGTGCCACTATGTTAGCCATTTTATAATAAGCTTCTATACCAGCAACTGTGTAACTGTTACTTGATACTTATTTTTCAGTGGAATACCAGCTATGGTGGATTTTGCTGCTATGCGAGAAGCAGTGAAAACCCTTGGCGGAGACCCTAAGAAAGTGCACCCTGCTTGTCCAACTGACCTCACGGCTGACCACTCTTTACAGATAGACTTCAGCAAATGGTACTATCTCTCAGGGTGTGGAAGTGGCTAGTGTACAGGAAGGGCACAGAGGCAGGCTCGCCCTCGGGACACCCTGCATGGGTACTGACTAGGGTCATGGAAAATTGGTGGAAAGGTTTAGGTTAGTGAGACTTTCTGGACTCAATCTGAGTTTAAAACTGGTTTCATATTTGTGTATTTCTGCCACCATATTTGATAAAAGTGGACAGTCTCAGGAGCTGTGTTTTGAGTCAATATCTGAATTAAGTTTTTTCTTTCATTTGAGATACTGGGGATAAACTGGAACTCTACCATTTGAGCCACTTCTCCAGCCCTAAAGATTTGTCTTAAATTGGTGGTTAAAAACCATGCATTTAAGCTGGGCCCTAGTGGCTCACGCCTGTCATCCTAGCTACTCAGGAGGCTGAGATCTGAGAATCGCGGTTCAAAGCCAGCCCGGGCAGGAAAGACCGAGAGACTCCTATCTCCAATAAATCACTAGAAAACCGGAAGTGGCGCTGTAGCTCAAGTGGTAGAGCGCTCGCCTTGAGCTGAAGAGCTTAGGGACAGCGCCCAGGCCCAGAGTTCAAGCCCCATGACCGACAAAAAAAAAATCCAACCTGGGCAGGAAAATCAGTGAGACTCTTTTATCTCCAATTAACCATCAGAAAACCAGAAGTGGCATGATGGCTGAAGTGGTAGAGCCCTAACTTTGAGCTGAAGAACTCAGGGACAGTGCCCAGGTACAGAGTTTAAGCCCTATGACTGACAAAAACAGAAACAAAAACAACAAAAACCATGCATTTACGAAAGCTCTTACATTCTTTCCACTGAAAAAAGTTTTTTGTTTTTTGCTTGTACTAGTGCTTGGGCTTGTAGCTTTTTTTTTTGTCGGTCATGGGCCTTGAACTCTGGGCCTCAGTGGGTGCTGTCCCTCAGCTCTTGAGCTCAAGGCTAGCACTCTACCACTTGAGCCACAATGCCACTTTGGGTTTTCTGAGTGGTTTATTGGAGATAAGAGTCTCATGGACTTTCCTATCCAGGCTGGCTTTGAACCGTGATTCTCAGATCTTAGCCTCCTGAGTAGCTAGGATTACAGACGTGAGCCACCTGCACCCACAGGCTTGGGCTTTTATGCTGAAGGTTGGTGCTCTACCACTTGAGCTACACCTTTTTACTTTCAGCTTTTTGCTGGTTAGTTGGAGATAAGATTATCACATACTTTTCTGCCCAGATTGGTTTTGAACTGTGATCCTCAGATCAAAGCCTCCCTGAGTAGCTAGCATTACAGGTGTGAGCCGCCATCTCCCAACTTAGTTTTTAGTATTTCTGGGGCCTTTCACCAGGGGTAAGCTACAGAAGACTGATTGCCATTGGTATGAATCAGCATTTTTTTCTTTTCTTTTCTTTTTTTTTTCCCCTCTGTCGTGGGGCCTGAACTCTGGGCCTGGGTGCTACCACTGAGCTCTTCAGCTCAAGGCTAGCACTCTGCCACTTGAGCCATAGCACCACTTCCAGCTTTTTCTGCTTACATGGTGCTGAGGAATCGAATCCAGTGCCTCATTCATGCAGGGCGAGCACTCTACCACTGAGCCAGCTTCCCAGCCCCTGAATCAGCATTTTTCCATGTGCTCTGGAGTAGCTGAATAGTACTGACATACATGAGAACCCGAGGGGTTTACACTGTGGTCCTGTGCTTTGAATTTACTGTTGGCATCTGGACTAACTGATGGATGTGAGCCTTGGAACACCAGTTACTCCCAGGTAGTGTTCGTTGAAGAGCCAAGTTTCTGTCACTTGTAAATGTTTTTTATTTTGTTTCCTTTTGGGGTAACAGTGCAATACAAAATGCACCCAATCCTGGAGGTGGTGACCTACAGAAGTCAGGAAAGCTCTCTCCACTGCGAGCACCCAGGAAGCCTCCTCCGTGTCGAGGCCAGACTCCCTGCCGAGGACCGTGCGATTCTGGAGAGCTAAGCCGAACCTCAGGAACATTTTCTTCACAGATCGAGAACACACCCATCCTGTGTCCTTTTCATTTGCAACCAGTGCCTGAGTATGAATGCTTTCTGTTGGTATTCATTAGTGCCAGCTTGTTTTTCAGTGAAGGAAGTTAGCATTCTCTTGTCCAATATCTGTTGCAATGATTTCACATGGATGTACTGTGTTGTATAGACTGTGAAGCAGTTATTCTGTATCTGTTCCTTATGAAACAAGTGGGTGAGACTGTGCTTACTTAGTACCCAGAATACTTTGCTATTGCTAGCAGCAAAAATTGCAACACAGTTTGCCATTTTACTTGTATTACCATCTCAGCTCTGTTCTCACAACAGTGTGTGTTAGTATAGTTCTAACTGGTTGGCACTTGCATGAACTGGCTTTGTTATACCTGGTGAAATAACTCCTTTCTGTGGCTGTCTAGGTATTGTGTAAATCAGAAAGAGCTTCCTGTTCAAAAAGAAATTTAGTAAATTGTCCTTCCCATGATTTTTAATACTTGTCTATTCATGCATAAGGGTCAAGTCTTAGCAAGGTAGGCCTTTGTTCTGATACACATGTTTTCTTCTTTTCTTTTCTTCTTTTAGACCTGAAGCAGTGTTAAAAAATCAAGAAGTTGAATTTGGCAGAAATCGAGAGAGACTTCAGTTTTTTAAGGTAAAAGAGATGGATTTGTATTGACATGGCACAGTTTTATGTGTAGATTTGGGGTTTTAAAGGCTTTTTAAATCTTACTGGAAGCACTCCTATGTCTTCCCCCATCTCCTATGTGTAAAAGGGGAAAATCCTGGCTTCTTTCAGATGAGCCTGGAGTTCCACCGCTCACCTTCCTGCTCCCAAGAAGCTGGAAGAGCTGAGTACTACCATTTATATGGACTATTTGAACAGGTTCTTTTGATCTAATTTAATAGTTAACAAAATGAAAGGCATAGGCTCAGTATACATGTTGGTTGTGTGTGTGTGTGTGTGTGTGTGTGTGTGTGTGTGTGTGTGTGTGTGTGTGTGTGTGTGTGTGTATGAATGTAAGAACTAGGGCTTGAATTTAGGGCCTGGACTCTGTTCCTTAGCCTTTTCACTCTATTACTTGAGCCACAGCTCTACTCGCAGATTTTTTTTTTTTGGTCAGTGATGGGGCTTGAACTTTGGGCCTGGGTGCCGTCCCTCAGCTCAAGGCTAGCGCTCTACCACTTGAGCCACAGCACCACTTCTGGTTTTCTGAGTGGTTTATTGGAGATAAGAGTCTCATGGACTTTTCCTGCCCAGGCTGGCTTTGAACCATGATCCTCAGATCTCAGCCTCCTGAGTAGCTAGGATTACAGGTGTGAGCCACTAGCGCCCAGTGTACTTGCAGAATTTTTGGTGGTTAAGTTGAAGAGTCTCATGGACTTTTCCTGCTCAGGCTGGCTTTAAACAACAATCCTCCAATCTCAGCCTTCTTGAGTATATGTTTTCCATTTTAGGATGTATTATAAACTTTAAATTGGCTATATTGATTATTTTTAACATTTTAGTGTCTATATAAGCGTATATTGTCTATATAAATACATTGTATGTATACTTAATATATATTGCCAATGTTATATTTATATTAGTGTCAGTATTTGTATCTGGGTAACAAACTCATACCCAGTGTTTCTGATCATTACAATTTGCAGTGGAGCTCACGAGTGTTCAAGAATGTGGCTGTCATACCACCTGGAACTGGAGTTGCTCACCAAGTGAACTTAGAATGCCTGTCACGAGTGGTTTGTGAAGACAAGGGCTTCCTCTTCCCTGACAGCGTAGTTGGCACAGACTCTCACATCACCATGGTCAATGGTTTGGGGATTCTTGGGTGGGGTAAGTAAACAACTCTGTGTATTCATTTCTGTAGGGACCCAAAGTCTAGAACATTATTGAGGAATAAGTGGACAGTCTATGTAGCCTCTTTGAAGCTCTGTTACTTCATCAATCATAACAGCAACAACGCTTAATTCAAGTGTCGGGTGTGTGGTAGAGTGTTTGTGGGGAACACATGCACCCTGCATACGTGCTTTCACCCATACCCATTGTAGAGGCTCATACTCTATTTCCCTGAATGGGCTGTGGTGTTCTTTCCACAAGCACTCCTTTATCCTGCTGTTGGAATGCGGCCACTATTAATCCTGTCTCCAGATGTGCTTATGGCCTCCTGGGAGCCTTTACTTCTCACTTGAGTTGAGGATCTATTCTTCCTTACTCTTTTTTTGTTGTTGTTGTTAGTTATAGGGCTTGAACTCTGGGCCTGGGTGCTCTCCCTGAGCTCTTCAGCTCAAGGCTAGTGCTCTGCCACTTGAGCCACTGCGCCACTTATGGTTTTCTGGTGGTTTATTGGAGATAAGAGTCTCACAGACTTTCCTGCCCGGGCTGGCTTTGAACTATGATCCTTAGATCTCAGCCTCTGAGTAGCTAGGATTACAGGTGTGAGCCACCAGTGCCCAGCCTTACTCTTTTTATTTTATTTTATTTTGTCAGTTGTGGGGCTTGAACTCAGGGCTTGGGTGCTATTCCCGAGCTTTTTCGCTCAAAGCTAGTGCTCTACCATTTTGAGCCACAGTGCCACTTCTGGTTTTCTGGTGTTTAATTGGAGACAAGAGTCTTATGGACTTTCTTGCCTGAGCTGGCTTTGAACCATGATCCTCAAATCTCAGGCTCCTTAGTAGCTAGGATAGCAGGCATAAATCACCAGCACCCACCTTTGCTTACTCTTTTACAGTGTTATAATAGTTAATTTTTGTTTATATTAGACTAAGCTTAAAGTGAACTGGACAATATTCATACCTGTCTTTTTTTTTTTTTTTTTTTTTAAATCTTTTTTTTTTTGGTCCGGTCGTGGGGCCTGAACTCTGGGCCTGGGCACTGTCCCTCAGCTCTTCAGCTCAAGGCTAGTGCTCTACCACTTGAGCCACAGCGCCACTTCTGGCTTTTTTCTTTTTGCTTATGTGGTGCTGAGGAATCGAACCCAGGGCCTTGAGCATGCAAGGCAAGCGCTCTACCACTGAGCCACTTTCCCAGCCCTCATACCTGTCTTTTTGATGCCGGTACTAGGACTTGAGCTCAAGGCCTAGGCACTGTTCCTTAGCTTTTCTTCCAGAAGTTTGGCACTCTACCGTTTAACCCACAGCTCCATTTCTATTTGTGTGGGTTTTTTGGGGGGTGATGGTGGTGGTGGTGATAGGGTGGTAGTCAATTGGAGGTAAGATTTTCATGGACTTTCCCACTAGGGCGAGCTTGGAACCACGATCCTCACATCTCAGCATCCTGAGTAGCTAGGATTATAGATGTGAGCTACTAGCACCCAACCATATCTGTGTTGTGAGCAGAGTACAAAAATGCCTAATCTATACCCTATATATACTATGTGTTTAGAAATTTTAATAAGGATAAAAGCATTAATTTTTGATTCATGTGAAGAGTCTCTTTGGGAAGGCATGGGTTCAAGACACGCAGTATGAGCAGTGATGGCTCTGTGTGAGGGTTGCGGAGCTGACTCAGTCCTCCTCCGTGCCTTCGGCTCATGTACTGTCTTGTCTGTCTCCAGGAGTGGGGGGCATTGAAACAGAAGCGGTCATGCTTGGCCTGCCCGTGTCTCTTACTTTACCAGAGGTGGTTGGGTGTGAGCTCGCTGGCTCGTGCAATCCTTTCGTGACATCCATAGATGTTGTTCTTGGCATTACAAAGGTGAGTGTGAGCTGAGGTCTTTTTGTGACTTACAGGACATTGCTTTTATCTAAGGGCAGGGGCCAGAAGAACAAGGATTTGGGTTTAGGGCTTCCATAGTTATAGCAACTGCGAGCACAACATTGAATTTTAGTAGTAAGTATGAGAAATTGATTTTGTTCATTTAACGCGCCAATGCATCTATTCCATTATAAGCCTCTGAGATGGGGGTTGTTGCTATTTTAATTCTGAGAAGCTGAAGGGCCTGAACTAACTCAGGCAATCAAGCAAAGTCCACTGAACTGTTTTGTAGTACTTACTCAGTAGATAACTAGACACCATGTGAATTTTTTTTGTGTGTTTTTGGTCCGGTTGTGGGGCCTGAACTCTGGGCCTGGGCATTGTCCCTCAGCTCTTCAGCTCAAGGCTAGTGCTCTACCACTTGAGCCACAGCGCCACTTCCAGCTGTTTTCTTTTTGCTTATGTGGTGCTGAGGAATCGAACCCAGGGCCTCAGGCATGCAAGGCAAGCACTCTACCACTGAGCCACCTTCCCAGCCCATCATGTGAATTTTTAAAATGCCATATTCTGCAAAAGTGTCTTTGCCACTCCTTTAATATTTAATGGAATTATTTGCCCTTTCAAAACCAGTACACTATTAAATAATGCTTTCAAAAATAGGGACCGTAGAGACATGTCAACTTTATCTATTGATTGAACTTTTCTTTGAAGTATCATGTAGAAGCCCTTTGCTCTGAACTTTTAAAATCAGCATCATGCCTTTAATGTGTGAGCTCGAGGGACTTGTAAATCCCATTTTAAAAATGACTACATGTGGGAAGTGTTCCATACAAAATTACAATTAGGATCCCAGCTTCTCAGAATTTTTGGTTAGATCATTGATCTGAAGGCTTTCAGGATATCCCACCGGGCAAGAAAATGGTAATACATCCCTCTCAGCAGTTAATATTGATCCTTCTTCCCTTTTTTTGGTTGGTTGTGGGGCTTGAACTCCAGGCTTGGGCGCTGTCCTTCAGCCCTTCAGCTCTTCAGCTCAAGGCTAGTGCTTTACCAATTGAGCCACAGTGCCACTTTCAGTTTTCTGGTGGTTAATTGGAGATAAGAGTCTCACGAAATTTGCTGCCTGGGCTGGCTTTGAACCACGATCCTCAGATCTCAGCCTCCTAAATAGCTAGGATTATAGGTGTGAGCCACCGGCACCTGGCTTTTTCTTTCTTAATATATATTTTTTATTGTCAAGAAACTGTACAGAGGGGTTACAGTTACATGAGCAGGGTAATGAGTCTGTTCCTATCTAGCATTGTTACACCCTCCTTTATTTTTTCCCTATCATCCCTTTCTTCCCCACCTCCCCAACTCTTGCCCTTCCTCTCCCACCCTGATCCTCCTTCTTAAGTAGGAAAAAAAAAATGACATCCCAGAGCAGTGATTGATCTGGGAAGTCATGCCAAAGATCATCACGTCAATGTGAGAATTGATGGCAGGACTACTCCTAAAGGAAAAGAAATATCCTCCAATGTCCTTTAAAAATTAATGCTGTTTTTAAACCTCTCCTGATGGTTTTTCCTTAGTGATGTTTTTGTCTGATATTTAGCTGATTAAAATTTTAACCTATTATGTGTGCCACTTCTGGTTTTCTGTTGGTTAATTGGAGATAATTGGGCTTTTCTTGCCCGGGCTGGCTTTGAACCACTATGCTCAGATTTCAACCTTCTGAGTAGCTAGGATTACCAGCGTGAGCCACCGGCGCCTAGCTTATTTCTTTTGAGGTCCCATTCTCTTAATGATATGAAGACAGCATTTGGCTTAGTATATGTGATCTAGGTTTTTCTTCCTCAAAGTATAAAACCACAAATAGAAAAGGACATCTTTAATGTTTGAGTTTCTACATCTTTAAAAATGAGTTCGGGCAAAGTGTTTCTGAGCTGCCTCTAAAATGTTGGGATTGAATTTTACTCGTTGGTTGAGGGTTGTTTCTCTCTGTTACCTCTGTTACCTCACTTGCACCTTCCCCATGTCAGTTAGAGACCTCTTTACTAATTAGAAAAGATGATTACTTGTGTTTATTACTTGCTACTGAGAGTAATCTTGTACAGTAGGTTTAAACCAGGCACTGGTGGCTCATGCTTATAATCCTTTTTTTTTTGGTCAGTCGTGGGGCTTGAACTCTGGGCTTGGGCACTGTCCTTGTGCTCTTCAGCTCAAGGCGAGTGCTCTACCGCTTGAGCCACAGCACCACTTCCGTTTTTCTAGCGGCTTATTGGAGATTAGAGTCTCACGAACTTTCCTTCCCTGCCCAGGCTGGCTTTGAACGGTGATCCTCAGATCTCAGCCTCCTCAGTAGCTAGGATTACAGGTGTGAGCCACCTGCGCCTTGTAACTATAATCTTCTTAATCAGGAAACTGAGATCTAAGGATTGCAGTTTGAAGCCAGCTAGGGCAGGGAAGTCCGTGAGACTCTTTAATTCCAATTAACCACCAGAAAACCATAGGTGGTGCAGTGGCTCAAAGTGGTAGAGTGCTAGCCTGGGGCTAAAAGAGCTGAGGGATAGTACCCAGGCCCTGATTTCAACCCCACTACAAACCCGGAAGAAAAAAAAAAGAGTTTAAAATCATGTTAAGTCTTGCCAAAACGGAATTTATTGGTAATGATGTCTTAAATATTTTGTCTTGTAGCTGCAATTGGAAGAATTTATGGTTGTATCATTTTAGCATAACTTCAGTCTCATCATTAGTAGTACTAACTCACTAAATCTAAGAGGCCACCAGTGGTTTGGAGCAACTTCGTGTGAGGGGCTGCTAAGAAAGGAAAAAGTTTCCAACTGAATGAGAACATATGACAAGTTAGGGTACCCTGACTCAGCCATTGACACATGAATCAACCTTCTGGAACTTTTGCCCCAAGTAACAATGACATTGGACAACTCTACTAAAAACTCTTACAAAATGCCTGTGAAACTAGAGTATTTGATATGAAGAATGAAAGATCTTGTCCTTGGTATTAGTTAAAAATTAGATCTTGGCCAGGTGCTGGTGGCTCATGCCTGTGAGTCCTACTCAGGAGGCTGAGAACTGAGGATCGCAGTTCGGAGCCAGCCCAGGCAGGAAACTCCATGAGACTCTTATCTCCAATAAACCACCAGAAAACCGGAAGTGGTGCTGTGGCCCAAGTGGTAGAGTGCTCACCTTGAGCTGAAGAGCTGAAGGACAGCGCCCAGGCCCAAGGTTCAAGCCCCATGATTGACCCCCTCCAAAAAAAAAAAATTGGATCTTATAGTTTCTAGGAAATCCATGTTCCTCCTGTTATTGCTAACTTTGTGTCTTTCTGCCTATCTCTAAAGCACCTCAGACAAGTAGGAGTGGCTGGAAAGTTCGTTGAGTTTTTCGGAAGTGGAGTTTCACAGTTATCTGTTGTTGATCGAACTACCATAGCAAACATGTGTCCAGAATATGGTGCTATCCTCAGCTTTTTCCCTGTTGACAATGTGACATTGAAACACTTAGAACATACAGGTAAGAGAGAGTGCAATCATTGGAACAAACATACTGTCTATCCAGTGTGCCTGACTGACAATATAATAAATTACAATGTCATTATCTAATATTCATACTATGGCTTTCTTTGAAACAGTGACATCAGATGTCTGCAGATTTAAAACTCAGCCCCCTGTGATCCATTAATCCTCACCCGACCTGTCCCCCACAGTGAAGGATCCCTGCCTCCCTCCCTGCCCCCCCCCCAGTGTGGAAGTCATTCTGAGCACATTCTCCACTCAACTATGAAATACTCTTGTCTCTTTTTGTGTGCATGTGCTCATGTACGCCAGTCATTGCCAGTACTAGGACTTGAACTCTCAGCCTGGACCCTGTCCCTGAGCTTTTGCTTTTACTAGCATTTTGGTGTTTCATTGAAAATAAGAGTCTTATGGACTATTCCTGCCCTGGCTTTTAAACTGAGATCCCTAGACTGTAGCCTCTTGAATAGTATGGATTTCTGACACAAGCCAGTGGTGCTGGGTCAGTGATGAATTTTCCTTATGGAAGTGAACTTAGGTACATTCTCAGCTGTCCTCCGCTGTAACCATGAGCCAGGGAGCCACCAGGCAGAAGTTTGGACATCAGTCTTTTCCAAAGAGTTAGAAGCACATACTTTTGTTAACAACAGTAGAAGGTTCCAGTTGAAGGTGTTTTTGTAGCCTGGTTGACTAAGATCTTTGACCATTCTCCTGTTGACTGTTGATATTTCATAAAGCCAGTCCATGTTTTTGTTCCTCCTTTTTGTGTGAAGATATTATCGTTGAGCTGTTTATTTTCTAATCAGAGCTATATCTTCAGAGATGCATTCTGTACTCTGCAGTTTGGGGGCACATTGTTATAAATGAGTTAATCAAATAGCAGAATGGATGATGGTTCATATTAAGCTCTGGAAAGAATAGGCCCTGTAAAATGCAAAACTCCTGTGTGGAGAGAGAAATTCACGCTTGCTTCATTATTGTTTCTTCTTTTATAGGTTTTGACAAAACCAAACTTGAGTCTGTGGAAAAATACCTGAAAGCTGTGAAGTTGTTTAGGAATGACCAGAGTTCTTCTGAGCCTGAATACTCACAGGTGTGTGCCAGTAGCACACTTCGAGGTGACTCAGAGTGTGAGATCTGGTACCTGCCCTGGGGTCTGGGTCCTGGGGCCACGGGCTCACTCACCAGCTGAGTAACTTGGCAGTTTTATCTAACCTTTTTGCCTCAGTTTCTTTATCTCTATGTTCATGTGTACCTCATAGACCAGTTTTAGGTACATTGTAAATACTTAATAATTAGCTTTTGATACTGCTTAAGAGTTGTTATTTGTAATCCATTATTTTGATTTTATTAGTGACTTCTTAGGTTTCTTTTTTTTTTTTTTTTTAAGGGTTAGGGTTTGAACTCAGGACCTAGCACTTGTGGGCCAAGTACTCAGCCACTTGAGCCACACTCTTCCAGCCCTTTATTTTTGCTTTTCAGATTGAGCCTTGTGTTTGTTTTTTGGGGTGTGTGAGTGAGTGTGTGTGTGTGTTGAGTATGTGAGTGAGTGTCAGTCCTGGGGCTTGAACTTGGGCCCTAGGCAATGTCCTTAAGCTTTTTTCTCAAGACTGCTCCTCCACCACTTGAACCACAGTTCAACTTCCAGATTTTTTTTAAACTTTTTTTTTTTTTTTTGTCCTGGGGCTTGAACTCTGGGCCTAGGCAGCTCAAGGATAGCGCTCTACCACTTGAACCATAGCACCACTTCCAGTTTTCTGGTGATTTGTTGGAGATAAGAGTCTCACGGACTCTCTTGCCCGGGCTGGCTTTGAACCGAGATCCTCAGATCTCAACCCCTGAGTAGTTAGGATTACAGGTGGGAGCCACCGGTGCCTGGCACATTTTTAAAAAAAAGTTATTTCTAAGTAGTTGTACAAAGAAGTTCCCATTCTACAAAACTGTATGAATACAAGGTGTCTGACAGCATTGTCACCCATCGCTCCTAACCCATCCCTGCTCTCACTTTTTTTTCTTTTAATTGAGATTAGGTGATTACAAAAAGTTCACAAATTTCACAGTATTGTGAGATAGTGATACTTAAAGTCACAAACACATTCTAACCTTCATGAGGCAAATTGTCATTATCATGGGCGATAAAGTTTGTGAATTCTATGAGCTTTGAAATACAATTATCTCTTCCACATCAGGTGATGTTTACATTTCTTTCCTTTTGCTTAGTGTAAGCTGTTGCCTTTCCCTGTCATTCCTCCCTTCCCATCACTGTCTTTCGGTTGTTTAGTTCTCTTTCTTCTATGTCCAGTGCAGCTGATGGGCCCCTTTGTTGTATGTTGGTCCGTTTCCCACTTACTCTGCGCCCACCTCCTGGCTTCCCTCCATTGTGTGCATATATATATATATATATATATATATATGCAAATATATATACAGTCAAGAACATGAAGTCATTTAGCAACAACAAAAGGAGTGGCTTTCCTTTGTTTCTGGAGTCCTGTTTACTTTGTCATATCTCTTTGCATTTTGGTTTTAGCATCCATATAACAGGGAGACCATGTGCCGTTTGTCTCTGTTCTTGGCTTATCTTGTTTAAAATAATTTGCTCTAGTTCCATCCATTTCCCTGCAAATGCCATTATTTTGTCCTTTCTAATGGCTGCATAATATTCCATTGTATATCGGTACCACAATTTTTTTATCCACTCATCTAGATTGTTTCCATATCTTGGCTATTGTGAACAGTGCTGCAACAAACATGGAGATGCATGTGTCCTTGCATTCTGGCTCCTGTTGTTCAGGGTAGATGCCTAGGAGTGGTATGACTGGGTCATAGGGGAGGAGGTCTATATTTAGCTTTCTGAGGTACCTCCAGACCACTTTCCAAAGTGGTTTAATAAGTGTACATTCCCACCAGCAATGCTGTAGGGTTCCTTTTTTTCTGTATCCCCTCCTTTTTTTCTGCATTTGTCATTGGCGGACTTTAGGATGTGTGCCATTCTGATGGGGTAAGGTGCTATCTCATGGTTGTTTTTATTTGCATTTCCTTTACAGCCAGGGATGATGAACATTTCCTCATGTGTTTCTTTGCTGTTTTTATCTCTTCTTCTGAGAAGTCTCTCTTTAGCTCCCTTGCCCCTTTAATGATTGGTTTGTTAGATTTGTGAGGGGTTAGTTTCTTGAGTTCCCTGTATATAATGGATATGAGACCCTTGTCTGATATATTTTGGTAAATATTTTTTCCCAATTAGTTGGCTTTCATTCTAGTTTGGTTGCTATTTCTTTATCTGTGCAAAAACTTCTTATATTAATGTAGTCCCATTTATTGAGTCTCTCTCCAATTTGTTGTGGCCTTGGAACTCTGTTCAGGATCAACTTCCAGCTTTTTGCTGCTTAATGAACTGCAACCCTTAGATCTCCGCTTCCTGAACAGGATTACAAGTGTGAGCCACAGCACCCAGCCTGGGTCTTGTGTTTTTCCCAGGGCTGATATTGTACTGTGACCTACTTACCTGTGCCTCCCACATGACTGAGATTACAAGCATGAGCCGCTATGCCCAACAAATTGTTGGCCGGAAACTGTCTGACAGGCTGTCCTTGGACTGAGATTCTCTTGATCTTACCTCCTCGAGGCTGAGTGGTTCACCTTCCTGGATCCACCATTCATGGCAAGACAGTTTCTAATCAGCTGCCTCCCCATCACCATGCTGTTTTACTTGTTTTATTTTTGACAATACTGAGATTGGACCCAGAGCCTCACACTTGCTAGGCAGGTGCTCTGCTCTTGACTACCCATCTAGGCCACTATATAGACTTCTGTGGCTGTAATTTTATAATACTTTATGAAATTTAAATTTTATTTTGTGGTAGATACCAAGTACTACAACATTCCCCCTGTATTCCCAAATTTCAGTTTTAATGATTCCTACATCAGATTTATGACACTTTTTTCCCCAGTCCATCATTAAAAAGCTACAGTTACATGGCCTTAAACTTCTTTTATAATCAAAGCAGTTCTTTCTTTCTTTCTTTTTTTTTTTTTTTGGTCCGATCGTGGGGCCTGAACTCTGGGCCTGGGCGCTGTCCCTCAGCTCTTCAGCTCAAGGCTAGCCGCTCTACCACTTGAGCCACAGCGCCACTTCCGGCTTTTTTTTCTGCTTATGTGGTGCTGAGGAATCGAACCCAGGGCCTCATGCATGCAAGGCAAGTGCTCTACCACTGAGCCACCTTCCCAGCCCCTCTTTTTTTTTTTTTTTTGTCAGTTGTGGGGCTTTAACTCTGGGCCTGGGCACTGTCCCTCAGCTCTTCAGCTCAAGGCTAGCACTCTACCACTTGAGACATAGCACCACTTCTTGAGTTCAGGCCCCACGACTGACCAAAAAAAAAAAAAAGAAATCTCACCAAGTATTGTGGTGCACACCTGTAATGCAAGCGCTTGGGAGCCTGTGGCATTGTAAGTTTAAATCAACCTGGTCTACAAAGCAAAATCATGTCTGTTAAACACACACACACACACACACATACACACACCACCACCACCAACAGCAACAAAAATTACCGAGCCAGGTGCTTGTGGCTCATGCCTGTAATTCTAGCTCCTCAAGAGGCTGAGATCTGAGGATCACAGTTCAAAGCCAGCTCGGACAGAAACGTCTGTGAGACTCTTATCTTTAATGAACCACCAGAAAACTGGAAGTGGCGCTGTGGCTCAAGTGGTAGAGTGCTAGCCTGGGGCTGTAGAGCTCAGGGACAACTTCCAGGCCTAAAGTTCAAGCCCCATGACTGATAAAAATAAATAATATCAAAAGGAAAAACCCAACCCTGGCCCTATAAAGAAATAGGCTTAAATCCATCAGAACGATCAGATTTTTGGTTTCAAAGAAACTTGTTAGTATAGACTGAGGCAAAGACCAGGGTTGCCGGCTCCATTAAAGAAAAGTAGAAGCAATTGGGCTCTTTCAGAAAAAGGCAAGCCTTTTCCTTCTGTGTCCTGACAGCACCCTCTGTTGATTTGACTTCAGTCCCACAGTGTGCACACTTGCCTGCAGTGTTTATGTTGGGGGAGTCAGATTTCATCTGGGTCTTACAGTTGGTGGTGTAGCTTGATTGTACACTGATCTCTTAGTTTGGTGTTTTCATGGTATCATTCACAAACTTATAACAGGTTTGTTTTACCATTCAAACACTGCATTGAATCTGAATATATTCACTGTGCTTTTAGAAAGAACTGTTTGAATGGGAATCTGCATGGAGAAATTTCATTCCTTCTCTTTCTGTTATCTTTTTCTAGGTGATACAGATTAACCTAAACTCAATTGTTCCAACTGTCAGTGGTCCCAAAAGACCTCAGGACAGAGTCGCAGTGACGGATATGAAAAGTGATTTCCAGGCTTGCCTAAATGAAAAGGTGAGTCCTTTTGTTGTTTGTGTTTGAGCATGCTTGTGTTAAGTCTTTGTAAATCAGTCTTCTGCCGTAATTTTTATAGCTCTGACGCACAAAGTAGCCTTTTTTTTCACCCTTCTATCTGCTGGACAGGTCAGTCATTGATGGGCCTTATTCCCAGTTCCACTATGAGGTGGAACTCTGGGGATTGTGTCGACTTAACATTTTTTTGTGGGGGGGATCACTCATGGGGCTTGACCTCTGGGCCTGGGCGCTGCCCCTCAGCGCTTCAGCTCAAGGCGAGCTCTCTACCACTTGAGCCACAGTGTCACTTCCAGTTTTCTGATGGTTTATTGAAGAGTCTCATGGACTTTGCTGCCTGGGCTGGGTTTGAACTGTGATCCTCAGTTCTCAGCCTCCTGATTAGCAAGGATTACAAGCATGAGCCACTGGCACCCAGCTACTTAGGTTAAATTTTAAATTAACTACAATTAATAGTTTCTCAGTCCGAGTAGTCTGATATCAAGTGCTGCACAGTATTGGGTGGCTGTGGCTCTTGCGCTGGGCAACAGAGAGCCAAGTTAGGCAGTTCTGCCCTAGAGGCCTGTGAGGCCCCCCCCCCACACACACACACTGGCACACTGATCCTCATCACTGGCACACTGATCCGAGCAGGAAGCGACTGAGCAGGAAGCGACTGCTTTTTGGGAGGTTGTGTCCCTACTTAAGGATCATGCCCCTAATCTTACCACTTTCTATGTTCTAAAAGTCAGCTTTCTTTTCAGACTATTTCTTTTTATAATTTCTTGGCTTTCCCCCCCCCCCCCCCCCCCCTCTTGCTTGTTAGTGCAGATCCTGGGGCTTGAACTCAGGGCCTGGATGCTGTTCCTGAGCTTCTTTTGCTCAAGACTAGCACTCTACCACTTGAACCATAGCTTCATTTCCAGCTTTTTGCTGATTAACTAGAAATAAGAATCTCACAGACTTTCCTGCCTGGGCTGGATTTGAACCTGGATCCCCAGAGCTCAACTTCCTCTGGGTATGAGCCACCAGTGCCTGGCTCTTGGCATTTTATTTTGAAAATGTAAAAGTCATACAGAAATAAAGCAGAGCAGAGACTGCTGTGTAGCTCTTACCCTCTCAGCACCTGTTGACCCGTGGCCCACCGTGGTTCACTTCTGCTGCGGATAGGATTGCTTTGGAAGAGATCTTCAGATAGGAATAGTCTGTACTGTGTCATGAGAGTCACTGTAGGCAGGGATGGACCAAGTAAGGTGTGGGTTCTGAGCAGCTGGCTGGATTCAGGGGTGAAGGTTTTGTGTGAAACTACGAGACTCCGATCCGACTAGGCTTTTGCTGAGTCAGGACTACTGAGTGTCAGGACTTTCTGTGTGGCTCAGAAACAGCAGCAAGGGGCTGGGAAGGTGGCTCAGTGGTAGAGTGCTTGCCTTGCATGCATGAGGCCCTGGGTTCGATTCCCCAGCACCACATAAGAAAAAATAAATAAATAAAAAAGACAAATTCCACCTCCTTTAAAAAAAAAAAAAAAAGAAACAGCAGCAAAAGGCCATTCTCCCATGTCAGGTATCTGCTTGTTTTCTACCTGCATTTCCTATACAAGCCCGCACTACTTATCTTCTCTTCATATGCACATTGGTAGGTTGGATTTAGAGGCTTCCAAATTGCTGCTGAGAAACAAAATGACGTCATGTCCATTGATTATGAAGGAAGCGAGTATAAGCTGTCTCATGGGTCGGTGGTCATTGCGGCTGTCATCAGCTGCACCAATAACTGCAACCCTTCTGTCATGCTTGCTGCAGGTAAGCAGTGCCTTGGGGGCTACATGTTTGGTTTGGTTTGGTTTTATTGGTTGTGGAGCCTGAACTTGGGGCCTGGGCGCTGTCCCTGAGCTTTTTCACTTAAGGCTAGCACTCTACCACTTTGAGCCTCAGCGCCACTTCTGGTTTTCTGGTAGTTCATTGGCGGTGAGAGTCTCACAGAGCCAGGTGTTGGTGGCTCACGCCTGTAATCTTAGCTACCCAGGAAGCTGAGATCTGTGAGGAGCATGGCTTAAAGCTGGCCTGGGCAGAAAGGTTCCTGGGAGACTCTTATCTCCTATTAACCACTCAAAAACTGAAAGCTGAAGCTTAAGTGATTGAGCACAAAGAGGCTTAGGGACAGCAACCAGGCCCTGAGTTCAAGCCTCCCAACTGAAAAAAAAAGGGGGGTGTCACTCACAGAATTTCTTTCCCTGGGCTGGTTTTGAGCCCTGCTCTCAGATCTCAGCCTCCTGAGTAGCTAGGGTGATAGGTGTGAGCCACTAGTGTCTGGCTTCATATCCCAGTCAACAGTGTCTTTGTTGTGTGTACACGTCCTTGTTTTCTGACATAATGGTTAGCACACATCTACTATAATTTCAAGTTGTTTTAAATGAGGTGAATCTGTTGTTGAAAGTAGACAAAATGATGAAGATATGTTTAAGGCTTTGGGCATAGCATCCAGTCTGGTCAATAGACCTTTCTCCTTTCTGCTTTCTACTCCCAACGTGAAGAAAGGAAGTCACTCTCTAATCAGTCCTGTTTGTTGGTGGCGCAGGTCTTTTGGCTAAGAAGGCTGTGGAAGCTGGGCTGCGTGTGAAGCCATACATAAGAACAAGCGTGTCTCCAGGCAGTGGCATGGTGACTCACTACCTCAGCTCAAGTGGTGTGCTGCCCTATCTTAGTAAGCTGGGGTAAGTGGCTTCACATGACTGCTATTGACATTGGTTCTATGCTGCCTAACAGGCCTTTCATAAACCAAGAGAAGATGAAAAGAAGTAGCATGCTGTGGTGGGAGTACTTTGCCATTTCCATGGTGTCTCTGAGGCCTCTTCACTATCAGAAGTGTGCGAGGCCCTGTAGGGACCTGGCAGTCGGATTTATATGATCTCTCACTTCAGGATCCTTAGAGAAGACACATGACAGACAATGAAATAAACACTGAACCATAGCCTCAGTGTCTGAGTGGTGTCTCGGAGCACTTACTCCTCATGCATTCTGTACAGCTCAGACAAGAAGAAAACCTTCTGGCTGCTTTTATTAACACTAAACTGTCTTAATTGGGATTTTGTAAGATTGTCTATAATACATGAGTTGAATTGTCCCTTGAATGTAGAGAAAGCAATGTACATTTCGGTGTGTGTGTTTTGTGTGCGTGTGCACACATATGCACGTGCACACACAAATTCAGCTTCCTGGGTAGCTAGGATTATAGGTATAATAGGTGCCTGGCTTGTATTTGTTAACATAGTCAAAAATTGATTGGAGCTGGGACGGTGGTTAAGGTAGAATGCTTGCCTTGCAAGCATGAGGCCCTGGGTTCAATTCCTCCTCCACATAAGCAGAAAAAGCTGCAAGTGGCACTGTAGTTCAAGTGGTAGAGTGCTAGCCTTGAGCTGAAGAGCTCAGGGACAGCACCCAGGCCCAGAGTTCAGGCCCCACGACCAGAAAAATGAATTGATGGTGCTAATTATATTTTCAGTATATATTTTGGAACATATTTTCTTACATAAATTATTAGCTTCTTTGAAAACTTGATAAATTTTAGGGGGTTTTTTTGTTTGTTTTTTGCTTTTTGAACTGCAGCTAAAGGTAGTTTAGATTTTGCTTACAATGTTTTGTATTGGAATTTTAGGTAGGGTATCTTCTTAGGCTTAATGAGTAGAAAAAGGTAACATTCACTTTTTGTTGTTGTTGGTCATGAGGCTTGAACTCGGTCTGGGCGCTGCCCTCAGCTCTTCATCTCAAGATGAGTGCTTTACCACTTGAGCCACAATGCCACTTCCATTTTTCTGAGTGTTTTATTGGAGATAAGAATCTCACAGAGTTTCTTGCCTGAGCTGGCTTTGAACCTCGATCCTCAGATCTCAGCCTCCTGAGTAGCTAGGATTACAGGCATGAGCCACCAATGCCCAGCAACATTCACTTTTATTACAGTGCCTACTTTGTTTTGTTTTTTTGGGGAGTCTTTGATGGAATTGTTCCAGCCAATACTTGGGTACTTTGCATATTAAACAAGGCCTTTGGGTTTGCTTAAAATAGAATATGTTTGAGGCTGGGAATATGGCTTAGTAGTAAAGTGCTTGCCTAAGACACATGAAGCCCTGGGTTTGATTTCTCAGTACCATATAAACAGAAAAAGCTAGAAGTGGCATTGTGGCTCAAGTGGTAGATTGCTAGCCTTGAGCAAAAAGAAGCCCAGGGACAGTTCAGGCCCTGAGTTCAAGCCCAAGACTCACCAAAAAAAAAAAAAAAATGATTTAATATAGAAAGATTTTTCTTTTTTCTCTTTTTAATGCTGGTCCTGGGGTTTGGACTCAGAGTCTGTGCACTGTCCCGTCCCTGAGCTTTTTTGCTCAAGGCAAGCACTCTTACCACTTGAACTACTGCTCTACTTCTGACTTTTTGATTGTTATATTGGAGATAAGAGTCTTAGGGACTTCCCTGCTCAGGGCAGCTTCAAACCACGACCCTCAGATCTCAGCCTCCTGAGTAGCAAGGATTACAGGTGTGAGCCACCAGCACCTGGGCACGATTATTTTTAGAAGGTTGTATTATGTTCTTAGTATGTTGTATTTGAAGAATTCCCTTGAGTGATGTAATACACATAGTTGGCCTGTGAGTGTTTCAGCATGCTAATTCTAAGCATATGGTGAAATTAGTATACACCTGATGTAGGTTAATAATCTGTATGCCATGAACAGTCTTGGAGTAATCTCATCGTTGTGCTCTGTAATCATGTCCTTTTTGAAAACACAGATTTGAAATAGTTGGCTATGGATGTTCAACCTGTGTGGGGAACACAGCGCCCTTATCAGAAGCGGTTCTAAATGCAGTGAAACAGGTAAAGTGTGATCGCCTAGCATGGAGCACAGCTTGTAGACTGTCTTGTTAGATTACAAAAATACATAGTGATGCGCTTATGTTTCTCTAGTTATTGCGCCTCTTGGAAAGACTAAACTCTGAGTCTCCATGACTTGAAGAACATTTCTACGTTTCTGGAATGATTCCTTATTAATGAAAGGAATTATTAGCTATGTGTAGGATTTGTAGTTTCTGTACCTAAAACTTAGTGGTATGCTTTGCTTATCTTATTCACAGAACTATAATACTGAGATTGCTTACATGGGATTATCCAGGTTTGTATGAGCTTGTGAATCAAGTATATTTATGTGTGTGGCGTTTTTGTTTGTGTTGTGTTTTTCAGGGTGATTTGGTTACCTGTGGAGTTTTATCCGGAAACAAAAATTTTGAAGGCCGTCTTTGTGATTGCGTCCGTGCCAATTACCTTGCCTCTCCCCCACTGGTGGTGGCCTATGCCCTGGCAGGCACAGTGAACATAGATTTCCAGACAGAGCCTTTAGGTATGCTCCCATATATAAATATATATTTTTTTAATATCTGTGTATGTAAATAGATCATACACTCACGCACACTTTTCCCCCAGAAGTTCTTAGTTTTCTCATTAATTTCTACATCCCAATGAAGGACATAAAGCAGATACCTGTTGTGGTGACTGCTGCCTGTACATGATGTTGAGCCTTTCCTTGGTTCTGTTGTATGTCTTTGAAATGGCATAAGCATTTTGAAGGAAAGTATTCTGACACTCAATATCACGTCAAACTCTTAACCAGGGACTGACCCTACTGGCAAGGATGTTTACCTGCGTGATATTTGGCCTAGTCGAGAAGAGGTTCAACGGATAGAAGAAGAACATGTTATTTTGTCCATGTTTAAAGCACTGAAAGGGAAGATAGAGGTAAGAGCCTGGCCTGTTTCTTCAAGAGCTTAAGAATGTTGTAGGTGGTTTCTTTTTTATCATGAATCTTTCTGGATAGAATAAAAAGTTAAATGACATTAGTTTGGATACATGGGTCTTAGTAATAGCACTTTGTATCTGGAATTGCTAAATACAAAGAGAATGGCTTAGTGTATTAGAATCGATGTCATTCACTTTCCTTACTGGGTGCTATGACTAAGTAGAGGGCACACTTCATAGAAATTTCCCTCACAGGAAGTAACAGCAAACCTTGAAATCTTGGTCTCACCAATTTTGTGCCTATGCACTTTGCCTTTCTAGAAATCAATGATCTTTTCAAGAGATAGGTGTGGGTGTGCTTGTGTACCATTACTGGGCTTTAGCTCAGCTTCAAATTCTCCCTTGGCTTTGTCACTCAGGGCTAGCACTTTGTAAACCTCTACTTCCAGCTTTGTAGTGGTTAGTTGGAAATGAAAGTCTCTTGGATTTCTCTACCTGGTCTGGCTTCAAACTGTGGTCATTCGCTCTCAGCTCCTGTATAGCTAGGATTACAGGCAGGACCCACTGGCACCTAGCTCAAAGTTTTAGTTTTTAAAACTGGAAATATGAAGGCAAAAAAAGCACCTACTTAGCAAACACTTAAAGTCATACTATGTGCCAGATGCCTCTAACGTGTTCTAGTACATCATTGAACAAAACACAAACTTCACACAGTGTGCTATCAAGAAAATAGGTAAATAGCACACCATGTTAAAAAGACCAGCCAGGCACTGTGGCTCATGCCTGTAATCCTAGCTGCTTGGGAGGCTGAAATCTAAGGATCATGGTTCAAAGCCAGCCCAGGCTGAAAAGTCTCTGTGAGACTCTTATCTCCGTGAACCACCAGAAAACCAGAAGTGGCGCTGTGGCTCAAAGTGGCAGAGCACTAGCCTTAAGCAGAAATGCTCAGGAACAGTGCCCAGGCCCTGAGTTCAAACCCCACAACTGACAGGGAAAACAAAAAAAAGTAAAGACCCATGGAAAAGACTTAATTGGGATAATTTGCATAAAACAGTTGTGTCAATTTTGCAAAGTAGATTGTAGGAGTTTTGATTTTTTTTTCTTTTTCATTTCAGTATATAGTGTCATTTTATAATCTAAGCTGGTTTTAACCTTATCATCCTCCAGCCTCAGTCTCCAAGGGCTCAGATGAACCACCACACCAGGCTCAGATTGACAAGTTAGCAGCCTGTGCAAAAAAGTCTGAGAGACTCTCATCTCCAATGAACCATCAGAAAACTGGAAATGGCACTGTGCCTCAAAGTGGTAGAACCCTAGCCTTGAGCAAAAAGTACAGGGAATGTGCCCAGGCCCCAAGTTCAAGTCCCACAACCAAAGTCTCAGTGACTTTTTACCTGCTCTTCCTTTAACTGTGATCTTCAGATCACAACCTCCGGAGTAGGTATGAATGTTAACGATGTAGATAATAGAATGCACTACCTTAGCCCTCTAAGTAGATGAGGCAACCTAATATTTCAGTCTTACCTAGAGTCTTCCTAAGTCATTTTTGTGACTTTTTACCTTTTCTTGGGTTTATCTGCCTGAATCATATTTGCAGACGGGAAACAAGCGGTGGAATTCTCTAGAAGCCCCCGACTCCGTTTTGTTCCCGTGGGACTTGAAGTCAACTTATATCAGATGTCCCTCGTTTTTTGATAAGCTTGTAAGTACTACTGTTCCTTGATTTCTTAAAAGATCATCACAGATTAAACACCCTTGTGCAGAGCTCAGAGTTCTTTGAACTTTTTCCTTGTAGACCAAAGAGCCTGCTGCCATCCGGCCTATCAAGAATGCTCACGTCTTGCTGTATTTGGGGGACTGTGTCACAACCGATCACATATCGCCTGCTGGGAGCATCGCACGGAGCAGTGCAGCTGCCAAGTACTTGACAAACAGAGGGTACGTGTCTGCTTGCCTGATCTGGCCCTCTCTGCAAGCAGGGGTGAACCAGCACTGCCTGCCATCCTTCCACAGTGGCACACGCTGTCTCCCACATTTGTTTGTTAGTACATATCACTAAGGAGGCACTAGAGGGCACCCATTGGACCTGTCTTTGCTTATAAGTTCAGAAATTTAAATTGCTATTTAAATTGAGTTATATGTTGGCTCTTGCCTATAATTCCAGCATTTGTGAGGCAGAGGCAGGAGGCTGGTAAGTTTGAGACCAGCCTGCCTTCATAGTAAGGCCTTATCTCAAAAAAAAAAAAGTTAGCCTGGCACTGGTCTCTCATACCTGTCATCCTAGCTACTCAGGAGGCTGAGATCTGAGGATCGTGGGTTCAAAGCCAGCCTGAGCAGCAAAGTCTGTAAGACTCTTATCTCCAATAAACCACCAGAAAATTGAAGTGGCTCTGTGGCTCAAGTGGTAAAGTGCTAGCCTTGAGCTGAAGAACCGAGGGACAGCACCCAGGCTGAGAGTTCAAGCCCCACAACCAAAAAAAATGAGTTGAGTCTAGATAAACCACTGATTTTAGAAGCAGGTTTTTTTTTTTTTTTTTTTTTTTTTTTTTTTTGGGTCCGGTCGTGGGGCCTGAACTCTGGGCCTGGGCGCTGTCCCTCAGCTCTTCTGCTCAAAGCTAGCGCTCTACCACTTGAGCCACAGCGCCACTCTGGCTTTTTTCTTTTTGCTTATGTGGTGCTGAGGAATCGAACCCAGGGCCTCAGGCATGCAAGGCAAGCGCTCTACCACTGAGCCATCTTCCCAGCCCTAGAAGCAAAATTTTTATTTTTCAGTTTGGGTTTTTTTTTCTTGGTGCCAATCCTGGGGCTTGAACTCAGGGTCTTGTTACTGTGCCTGAGCTTTTTTCTCAAAGGTCCTCTCTAAAATGTGAGCCACAGTTCCACTTTTGTCTTTTTACTGTTTAATTGGAGATCAGAGTCTCCTGGACTTTTTCTGCCCTAGCTGTCTTCAAACTATGATCTTCCAACCTCAGCCTCCCAAATAACTAGAATTACAGGTATGAGCCACTGGCACCTGGCTTGCTATTTTTATTATTTTTTTGCCAGTCCTGGGGGTTAAGCTCATGGCCTGGGTACTGTCCCTGAGCCTCTCTGTGCTCAAGGCTAGCAGTCTACCACTTGAACCATAGTGCCACTTCTGGCTTTTTCTATGTTGCTTTTTTCATTATTGTTATTATTTTTCTCTCTTTTTTTTTTTTTTGGTCTGTTGTGGGGCTTAAACTCAGCCTGGTCACTGTCCCTCAGCTCTTCAGCTCAAGCCAAGTGCTCTACCACTTGAGCCACAGCACCACTTCCTGTTTTCTGAGTGGCTTATTAGAGAGGAACTTCATGGACTTACTTGCCTGGGCTGACTTTGAACTGTGGTCCTCAGATCTCCTCCTCCTGAGTAGCTAGGATTACAGGCATGAGCTACCAACACCTGGCTTTTTATAATTTCTTTAGATAAACTAAAAGGAAGGAAAAATGGAAATGAAACATAAAGGTTTTATAAGAGGCTTCAAATAACTGAATGCATGTGAATTGTACTTAGATATTAATTTGAGCACCTAATACTTTCCAAGGAGTTAACTGAGGGTGTGACTTTGTGATAGAGCTTTCAGGTAAAAGGTAAAAATCTACAAGCTGGCTCTGTGAATAAGTGAGTAGGGCATGTCTAAGAGGCCCCAGTGGTCCTGGGCTGGAGACCTGGGGCAAGTTTCCATAGCAATAAAGAAGTGTTCAGATAGGTTTTACAATTCAGTAATGTGTGGTTACTTCCCACTTACAACAAACACTTCCCTGCCTTTCTTGTAGCCTTACCCCTCGTGAATTCAACTCTTACGGAGCCCGGAGAGGCAATGATGCCGTGATGACAAGAGGCACTTTTGCAAACATCAAGCTTTTTAATAAATTTATTGGAAAGCCAGCTCCCAAAACAATCCATTTTCCATCAGGACACACGGTAAGGCAGGCGCTTGGTGATTGGGGCATGCCTGGTTCTGGCGATCTGCATTTGTGCTAAGGATTTGTGTGTCTGCTTACCTCCATAGATGGATGTATTTGAAGCTGCGGAACTGTACCAAAAAGAAGGTATCCCACTGATTATTTTAGCAGGAAAGAAGTATGGTTCGGGGAATTCAAGAGATTGGGCCGCCAAAGGACCGTATTTACTGGTATGTCTTCACATTCATTTTCTTACAATGAGGAGTGGGGAGAGGGACAATAGGAGTGGGTCTGAGCAAGGTTCACATGTGACACGTCGCAGTGAAGCCTCCCTGCACAACTACTTGGTGCTATCAAAAAGGGCCAGGGTAGGGGAGGTTGATTATCTTCACAACTTCAAAGAAATTGCCTTCTTCCTCTGTCAGGAACATCATGTCAGAGTTTACTTTGCTTATTTGAATTTTTTTGCAATTATTTGGACCTCATAATTGAGAGTTTCAGTTCAGTAATGTTAAATAATCCTTGTACTCGCATAGTTACATCTGTAAGTCTTAGGTGAGAATTCATTTCATTACCAGTAGTAGCTGTGCGGGCAGATATTCTAATTCTAGATTCTTGGAGTCTCAAGCACAGAATTAAATAAAGACACAGAAGTAAAGTAACAAGGAGTTTAATAGAAAGCCCATCGTTATGAAAACAGCAGCCGAGCTGAGTGGCTCGTGGTTGAAGAAATTCTGGCTCTGCAGGGCTCAGTGAGTTGGGAGTTCAGAGCAGCAGTGGCAGGCTGGCACACACAAGGCTGCCGGCCCACAGTTTTAAGTTTATGTATGAGATGCATGCATGCAACTGTATGCATGACACCTTTAGGAGTTGGTTGCACAAGTCAAGCCAAGGACTTTCCCTGGGGCATGTGCTTCAGTTTACTAGTTTCTCTGCCACTGGAAGGACAGGTCCTGCAAGCAAACTGACCACTGATGACCCAAGGAAATAGTGGGAAATAGGACCAGGGCCAGGCAGGGCGGGGCATGGGGCTGGTTTCAGCATTTCTCTGCCATAGCCTAGTCATCCTCAGTATGTGAGAGACAGAAAGAGGAATTCTTTTTTTTTCTTTTTCTTTTTTGGTTCTGGTCATGGGGCCTGAACTCTGGGCCTGGGCGCTGTCCCTCAGCTCTTCAGCTCAAGGCTAGCGCTCTACCACTTGAGCCACAGCACCACTTCCGGCTTTTTTCTTTTTGCTTATGTGGTGCTGAGGAATCGAACCCAGGGCGTCAGGCATGCAAGGCAAGCACTCTACCACTGAGCCACCTTCCCAGCCCCCAGAAAGAGGAATTCTTTTTTTTGGGGGGGGGGGGGGTTCCGGTCATGGGGCCTGAACTCTCTTCAGCTCAAGGCTAGCGCTCTACCACTTGAGCCACAGCGCCACTTCCAGCTTTTTTCTTTTTTGCTTATGTGGTGCTGAGGAATCGAACCCAGGGCCTCATGCATGCAAGGCAAACGCTCTACCACTGAGCCACCTTCTCAGCCCCAGAAAGAGGAATTGCATTATAGTCATTATTTGTGCCCATTCATAGTTTTGCTTGCCTGGTTTTGTTGTATTTTCTCTGATTTGTTCCATTAGCAGCTAAGAGACTTAGGTGATGCGCTGAGTCTTACCTTTCTCACCTCCAAAGAGATTCTGCTGCCAGTTGTCTAGCAGAAGATGCTTCTCTTTAGACTGCTTGTTTTTTTTTTTTTTTGTTGTTGTTGTTGTTTATTTCCTTTTTGTGGTAGGGGTGGTGCGCATCTGCACTTGCTGACATTCCACATGCACAAGAAGTAGAGTGCAGGCCTCTGCCACCTTCTTTTAGGAGGCGTTGTCTCTTCCCTAAAAAGTCAGTTCTCAGGAATTATAAGCCAGGTATTATCTTTCTGAGATAGTAATTCTAAGTATTTCATTAATTATTGGACTAGGCTCCTTTAACTTTAAAACCTTCTGTTCATTTACAGTGGAGTTTTGCTCTTGACAGCCTAGTCATTTAGACTTTTTTTCTTTTTTTTTTTTCTTTTTCTTTTTTGCCAGTCACAGGGCCTGAACTCTGGGCCTGGGTGCTGTCCCTCAGCTCTTCAGCTCAAGGCTAGCGCTCTACCACTTGAGCCACAGCTCCACTTCTGGCTTTTTCTGTTTATGTGGTGCTGAGGAATCAAACCCAGGGTCTCATGCATGCAAGGCAAGCACTCTACCACTGAGCCACCTTCCCAGCCCCCTTTTTTCTCTTTTTTGATTTTTGGTGGGTCATGGGACTTGAACTCTGGGCCTGGGCATTGTCCCTGAGCTCTTCAGCTCAAGGCAAGTGCTCTACCACTTAAGGCACAGCTTAAGAGTTAAGAGTCTGAGATAAGAGTCTGAACAGACTTTTCATGCCTGAGCTGGCTTTAAGCCCTGATCCTCAGATCTCCCCGTCCTGAGTAGTTAGGATGACAGGCGTAAGTCACTGGCACCTGACTCATTTAGACTTTTCTTAAGAACTGATTTATGTGCCAAGCGGCACATACCTGTCATTCTAGCTACTCAGGAGGCTGAGATAAGTCTTTGGATTGCAATTTGAAGCCAGAAGTGGGGCTGTGGCTCAGCTGAGAGAGTGCTAGCCTTGAGCAAAAGAAGCTCAAGAACAGTGCCCAGTTAAAGCTGCAGATAGCTTCCACCATATTGAGGCTTCACTTCCTATTTTCTGCATTGAGAACAGGAGACAGTCTCTCCCTTCTTTGACCCTGTTATACCACAAGAAATCCTTGCCAGACCTCCTCTGTGGATGTGTCTCATGGATGGACCTCACAGAGCTGTGATTTAGTGTGGAAACTGGGAAACAAGGGAGGGAACCACCGTCTAGTGACAGAACTTGAGCAAACCCTTCTACATGCTCAACATTCCTGTGAAGTCTAGCACCTGCTTCTTCTTCTAAGTATTTAAAGAATTTGCTCATCTGATCCCCTCTAGTGTTCTTGAAGTGGCATTCAAGAGAGGGTTCCAGTGGCCATGTATATCACACCCACTAGGGCTCAAAGGCAATCCCCAGGGCCCTGACAGCCAAAGGAAGGGCCTCTTAGGGAGCTCTGTGTGGTGGGCTCGGCTTCTGTAAGTACCTGCCATACTGCCAGCGTACAGAGTGGTACAGTGTGTCAGAAGGGTTTGGAGAAAGTAAAATGCTTAAATCAACTTTCAGAAGTGGAAGAAGTAAAATGCACATTGGTTACAGGGTGTGAAAGCTGTTTTGGCTGAAAGTTATGAAAAAATCCACAAAGATCATCTGGTTGGGATGGGCATAGCCCCACTGGAGTTCCTTCCAGGAGAGAATGCAGACTCCCTGGGGCTGTCTGGCAGGGAGACCTTCTCCTTGACGTTTCCTGAAGAGCTATCTCCTGGAATGGCATTGAACATGAAGGTACCTCGGAAATTCTTGCATGCACAGTCATGCTTTGGTCCTCTGAGGGCGGGCTGGGTGAGACTGAGGAAGAAGCAGTGGTAACTGCATAGCAATGTCAGTCATGTGCACCATTGGTAGTGTACGTTGCTTTGCTTCCTCTGGCCTTAATCTAAGTGTGCGTCTAGCCAGCATTCTCTGTGTGCTCAGGCCGTGAGGAGGGTGCATGGAGACTCTTAGCCAGCATCAGGGAAAAGGAGGAGATGGATGGATGGTGGCATTGATGTAATGAGTGCTTATCATTGATTGGCCCAAAGCTAACCCTTTGGTAGTGTTTTCTAGGTCACATGATACTTGCTCTCTAGGATCAGGGATGAAACACCCATTGTGAGACACCTTGGGTGGTTTTCAAACCATAGAAAGGTTATAGGCAATCAAAGTTGAAATTACACTCAGGAAAGTCGGGCAAAATAGGGCCAGATCATGATCATGTTTATGAAGACAAATGATTACTGTACCTTGGAAATCTTGACACTCATATATATGTTCTTTGTTCCAAGACAAGCACTGGAAAGGTATTCAGCGTGATTGCTTCATTTGAAAATGATGTGGAAATAACCTTGTTCAAACATGGAGGATTATTAAACTTTGTGGCACGGAGATTCTCCTAGTATCTTCTCCCCGCCATGCCAGGCGCGGGTGATGGTAACTGCAGACAGTCTTTCATGCCGGCCCCAGGGGTCCTTGCTACGGCGCCACAGCAGGTCCAGTGTCCTGGTGACTCATCCTGGACGTAAGTGATTGTGATCAATATAGTGACTGAAAAGCGATCTTTTTAAATACTATACGAATGGTGCTATTAACACTGCTGAAATCAACGTGTGATGTGTGTTGTGGAAGAGCCTGTAAGTATGGGTGGGGGTATTTTATCAGACCATTTTGTAAATAAAAGGCAGAATTGGACCTTGTGTTGGAAATTCTTATATGAGTAACCTTCCTGAAGTTGTCTGTTTTGTTTTGCACCTGTAAAGCTGTACTGCTGTCCCGTTGCTTACAGAATGAAATAGAAGCCTGATTAGACTGGGAAGTTGTGGAAGTTGGAATGTGATTTACATAGATGGACTTGAGTGTATGAATTCTTTGGCAGAATGGAGCTGAGCACAGTGGGCATTCCTAACTTGTCCAGAGCCAGGTTTCCCCGGGCCTAACTCCACCGGTTTGAGTCTGTTCCAGGGCGCCATCTTCTGTGCCGTGCAGCCAGTCCCTCCACATCTGAAGATGGACCATGGTCGTGTGTGTGTGTGTGTGTGTGTGTGTGTGTGTGTGTGAGAGAGAGAGAGACATGTGCTAAAGTATGAACAGGATGCTGCCCTGAGTGCTCGCTGATGGCATGGTGGCACCCCAAGGGGCACAGGCCACATCCTGTTCATTGCTTTAGCTTATTTTGCTCATTTCTTGTGATGCTGTAACTTCTGTAACCTGATTTAATTATCACTGAGTTCTCCCCCACCCCCCTTTGGTGGATGCTGGAGGAGAACCTGAGTCTTTCAATGCTTACCTGATTCCTCTGAGATTTCTCAGTCCACACCTCATGATATGGGTGCTTGCCCCTACGCATTTAAAAAAAATGTACTCTCTCAGTGATGTGAGCTGATTTCCTGTCTGGGATTCATGGCTGTTGGCAGTTTGCTTAGGGCTGACCACAGCTGGCCAGAGAGCAGTGAAGTTGCTTCTGTTCAGGGCCGAGCCCTGTGCGAGTCTGATCCCACGCCACAGCAGCATCCTGACAGTGTGGGCATCCTTTCATAAAACAAGATTTGATCATCTCAGAAGGTCCTATACTTTTCTAAGAAATTAGCTTATTAGTAGCAAAAGGCCATTTAGAATGATCTTTACCATGTGGAGCTTTCATAGTTGCTGCAATTCAGAGGTAGCTTTCAATGCACAGAATAAGAAATTACTTGTTTTGTGCTAAAATGCAGATACTCACAAACCAGGAAGTGAAGGACACTGAGAATATGCACATAATCACTTGTGCCGTCATTTGAAAATATTTCGCAAATATGTATTTAGACAGTAAGTTTTTTTTTTTTTTTTTTTTGTCGGTCGTGGGGCTTGAACTCTAGGCCTGGGCGCTGTCCCTCAGCTCTTCAGCTCAAGGCTAGTGCTCTACCACTTGAGCCACAGCGCCACTTCTGGTTTTCTGGTGGTTTATTGGAGATAGGAGTCTCACGGTCTCTCCTGCCCGGGCTGGCTTTGAACTGCGATTCTCAGATCTCAGCCTCCTGAGTAGCTAGGATTACAGGCGTGAGCCACCAGCGCCCGGCTAGACAGTAAGTTTGACAAAACAATTGTCCTTCAAGTCTTTTCATCAATATTTTCTCTCGCACTCTCATCGTATTGTGCTCTTGTTGGATGCTGGGCATATTTTAACTTTGGACACATGAGCTAGGGATGGAGAGTATTATAAGCTGATATGCTTTAAAGAAATGGTAATTGCACAGTGTGTTGAGGGGAGAAAATACCTGTATGGTTTTGAAGGCATGCTGTTTGTAGATGGTGGGTAATGGTACGACAGTGTGATAATCAGTTGATCCACACAGCCATTGACATTCCAGTCTGCCTAACCCAGTCGTCATCATACAAGCAAGTCTCGTGTTGCAGAAACATAGTCTGTTTAATGTCTTGCTCATAAATGAACTAAAGCAGAGAAGCCTGGCTTTAACTAGGAAAGGAGAGTCCAAGCATTTTTCCCAATGTGGATGCCTTCTAACTGTGCCTCCAGTCATATGCCACAAAAACAGGCAGTTTGTTTTTTCTTTGTTTTTGTCTTACTTCGCTCCTTTTGTTGACTTGGAGCTGGATGATTTCATGATATAGGAAAATAATAACCTGACGTAAAAAGGAAGTCCAACAGGCACACGGAGAAACAGATCAGAATTATGAACTTCAAGTGCAGCCCAAAAGGTCATTACCAATAGAAGCAATTTTTACCTTTTAAGAAAGTATGCCAGGGGCTGGGAAGGTGGCTCAGTGGTAGAGCGCTTGCCTTGCATGCCAGAGGCCCTGGGTTCGATTCCTCACACCACATAAGCAGAAAGAAAAAAGCCGGAAGTGGCGCTGGGGCTCAAGTGGTAGAGCGCTAGCCTTGAGCTGAAGAGCTGAGGGACAGCGCCCAGGCCCAAAGTTCAGGCCCACGACCGGACCCAAAAAAAAAAAAGAAAGTATGCCAGGTGCAGTGGCTCATACCTGTAATCCTAGCTACTCAGGAGCTGAGGTCTGAGGATCGCAATTCAAAACCAGCCCAGGCAAGAAAGTCTGGGAGACTTTTATCTCTACTGAACCACCAAAAAGCCAGAGGTAGAGATGTGGCTCAAGCCCCAGAACCAACACACACAAATATGCTGAATACCATATTTAAACCTTTAGGGTTTGCTACTCCTATGAAATGAAATGAAGTAAAATGAAATGAAATGGGTGGCAGTGTCACCCAGCCGCTGAATTGTCTGTATTACTTACACAGTACTCCTTCCCAATATGACGGTCATCATTGTGTCCTGTTTCCATGCTGACACTTGAATGAGGTGGCAGAACTCCTTCATCCAGGTGGCAGGGATTGTAGAAGCTGAAAGCGCATCCCGTCATATCATGGGTCACAGTGTTGGGTGCTTTAGGCTTTTCCATGGTAAATGATAAAAGCAGGAGCTCTGGACGTCGGGGAACTTACATGTCCCCTTGCCTTTGACCTTAGGTTTAGCAGTCACTGGAAGGTGATCTGGCTTAGTTTGCTTGGATGTGGAAAGGGAGGAGATACATGTGGCCTTTGTTTCTTGTCCCTTCAGGGCCACTGTGCCCATGTTGCCATCCATTTCGTATGTAGTCTGTGGCTCTGAACCATCTCTGTATCTCTCTAAAGTAACTATGAATTGTTGTCTCTTATTTAAAGCCAACAAAACAGTGTAACAGTTTGAAGTTCGATAATGTTAAGTATTGTACAGAAATATATTGGAGGCAAAGTTTAGTTGATGACAATTGTGTATATGTTACTGATGCTGTAAATTATTTTTAATAAAGAGAATTGTATTATCACATCTTACTGGGTATGACTTTTTTAATTTTATTGTAAGGGTGATGTCATAGGGAGGGGTTACAGTTACATAATTAATTGAGTACATTTCTTGTTGATCATTGTTACCTCCTCCCTTTTCTCCCACTTTCCCTCCCTCCTCCCTGCTGCCTTTTTTTTTTTTTTGGTTGGTCATGGGCTTTGGGGCTTGAACTCAGGGCTTCACTGCTGTCCCTGAACTTTTATGCTCGAGGCTAATGCTCTACAACTTTGATCCGCTGGTCCACTTCCGGGTTTCTTGATGGTTAACTGGAGATTAACCAATGGACTTTCCCACCTGGGAAAACCACAATCCTTAAATCTTGACCTCCTGAATGGCTAGGATTATAGGCATGAGCCACCAGGGTCCCACAAAATACTTTTTTGTAATTAAAAAAGAAACCATTGGAAGCTGTAAAGAAATGAAATGGCATCCAGAAATTTCTCCTGGTTGTCTGAATGTGCAGACAGTCTATTTGCAGGATGTGTGACGCACACAGCCCTCCATGGTACCCAGGCCTCTCGCTTCCTTTTGTTCCTGGGCAGTGAGTGTAGAAGTTTGACACTGGTGTGGGAAAACATGGGGAAGCAAAGGCTGAGCTAAATTAAGGACTGTTCGGTTCCCTCCGCTAATTGAGTGAGATTAACGTTGCCTAAGGCAGGATCCTTTCTTAATTGGCCAGCCTTAGGCACTGGTGGCTCACTCTGGAGGCTGAGATCTGAGGTTATCAGTTTGAAGCCAGCCCAGCAAGAAAGTCCTGAGACCCTTGCTTCCAATTAGCCAGCAAAAAGTGAAGTGGAGCTGTGGATCAAGAGGTAGAACACTGGCCTTGAACATAAAAGCTTGGCAGCACCTAGACACTGAGATCAAGCCCTAGTACTGCCTCCCCAAGAAAGGCATTAACAAAAAATGTAGTTGCACAAATGGGTTTCAATTCAGTATGTCAATTTATAAGTTTAATGCATTTTGATCAATGTCACCTATACCATCCTTCCCACCCCTCAAGTTACCTGGTTCTACTTCGATTTAAGTACATTAAGTCGGACTATTCACTGACCATTCGGTCCGTTCCTCTGTCCTCACTTCCCATTAAACCCACCTGTCAGACAAAATGTGTTTGTGCCTCCAGGTGTTCATTTTGACTCGTATCTCCCATAGTTGGGATTATAGGCATGCACCACCACACCTGACAAAAGTACAATATTTGTGAAGAAGTTCCAGGGAGTACCAATGCATGCCAAAGGAGACAGTTGGGAGTCTAGTCCTTTCTCTAAAATTTCTTTAATCCTCATTGAAAAAGCATGAATAGAAGTGGAATAGTGTGGGAAAGTGGGGAGAATTCAGGCGCTGCCTGGGCTGTCAGCGTTACCTGAAGACCTAAAGGAGGGAATTCAATATGTCATCCCTGGGGCTGCAGAAAGACAGCCCTTCTTTGGGGGGTGGAGGGGTCCGGTCATGGGGCCTGAACTCTGGGCCTGGGCACTGTCCCTCAGCTCTTCAGCTCAAGGCTAGCGCTCTACCACTTGAGCCACAGCGCCACTTCTGGTTTTTTGCTTTTTGCTTATGTGGTGCTGAGGAATCGAACCCAGGGCCTAATGCATGCAAGGCAAGCACTCTACCACTGAGCCACCTTCCCAGCCCCAGCCCTGCTATTTGTGAAGCAGAGAAGAACCATATGCAAAGTGCAGAAATGATTTAAAAGGTTCAAGAGGTATGTGTGTGTGTGGTGGGGCTACATATACCTTTTTGGGTTTTTTTTTTGCCAGTCCTGGGGCATGAGCTCTGGGCCTGGGCACTGTCCCTGAGCTTCTACCACTTGAGCCACAGCACCACTTCAGACTTTTTCTGTTTATATGGTACTGAGGAATCGAACCTAGGGCTTCATGCTTGGTAGGCAAGCACTCTACCACTAAGCCACATTCCCAGCCTTTCATAAACACTCTTTGAGAGGAGGTACTGCTTTGTGGCTCAGGGTGGCCTCAAACTTCAGATACTCCTGCCTTAGCCTCCTCCCCAATGCTGAAATGACAGACAGCCACCACGTAAGGCAGGTGGCTGATGGAGGCTGGGAAAATCATCCAAGTCCATATATAATCGTGACTGTAGATAGCCTGCTGTGTCCTTACAGAGGGGAAAAAAAGAGCAGGTGCAATGTGGAAACACCGACACAAAATAGAGACCAAATTGCAGGCCACCAGTGATGGGTGTCCAGAATCCACGCCGTAGAGAGCGTTCCGATCAGTCAATCAAACCACACTATCAGAGCCCAGGCCTTAGAGCCAGCGTTCTGACCTGTCAATCAAACCACGCAGTAGAAAGAGCGTTCTGATCTGTCAAGCAGAATTCCCGCAGTCCAGACAGCTCTGACCTGTCAATCAAGAGGTCCTGCTTGGCTGGAAAGCGCCCTTGACAATTACGCTCATTCTAACTCGGGCGCCCCAGAGCCCAGGTCCTCGGGGCCGCCCTTTCCGAAGGTGTCCTCCAAGACACGGGAGAGTAGGAATAAAGCCAGGACACAGAGTTCCACGCTGGGACACTTGGACACTTTACAAGGCCAAGAAGGTCCAAGTCGCCGCCACCTCTGGTGTGGATGGGGCGGAACCGAGAGGTGCCACTCATGGGCCCCAAGAATTCTAAATGGCTACTTGCCGGCGAGTGAAGTTTCGCGCAGTCAATCGAAAGGCAAGAGTTTCAATCACGCACGAGGTATCCGGATTCTGATTGGGGTACTAGCCCAGCAAAGGTGGGGCTTCGGTTGCAGTAAGCCAATGAGAAACCTCACCTCTGAATTTCTCTTTAGAGCCGCTGGGGGTGGGGCTGGGCAAAGTCCGGGGCGTTAAAGCCAAACCTGGCCTGCAGTAGTGCGCGCTGATTGGGTGGCGCGGAGCTGGGAGGAGCCAATCAGAAGTCGCCGCTGGCGGGGCTGGGCGCGGCCCCTCCTACTCTACCTGAGTGCGCGGCGGCGGGTGGATCGCTGCGCGGCGCACCGCGGGTTCGGACCTGGACGTCGGACCGTGGCGGGTGAGCCGGGCACAGCAGGGGGAGGCAGAGGCGACCTCCGGGTCCCGCGGGGTGGGGGACGTCCCCGAGAGCCGGGAGGCTTGCAGAGAGCCTCGGGTCTCCTCCAGCACCCCGCTGCACCCCACAACCGCGGAGGACCTGGGGCCCCGTCCCCCTCGCTGCAGTCAGTGGCGGGGCTGGGACCCCAGAAGGAAAGCCTGGGACTGGAGAGGCGGGCGGGCCCAGCCCCCGGAGAGGTTAGAGTCCCTGCAGATCCGCCCCTGAGCCCCACCTGGAGGAGTCGGATGGCCCTGGAGTGTTGGGGTGCAGACAACCTTGGGGTCCTCATGGGCCAGGCGTGGAGCGTTCGATTCGCGTTCCCCAGCCTTGAATGCACGGAGCAGAAGATTGCAGAAGAAAGGTAGCTTGAGAGAGGTGCCGAGCTGCAGGTCGTTCACTGGCCCTGGGGAGAGAGGGAAGAATGTTGAGGGGTTCTGGTTCCATCTGTGGCACCAAGTGCAGAGGTGAAGGTCCGACCCCCCTCCCCCACCCCCCGCCCCCCAGCTCTGAGAGCGGGACAAAGATCAAAGATCGCGAGCTCTGACACCAACCTTGAAGTTGGAAATTCTTGGTTCCTGAGGGTTTTTCAAGAGCAAGAAATAAAAACCAGCAAACCTGTAGGATTTGGATCCTTCCTCCTCTTGCCATATTGTGTATGTGTGTGCACGGGCGCACTTGTGCCAGTATTAGGACTTGAACTCAGGGCCTCATGCTCTTGATTTGCTTTTTTTTGGGGGGGGGAGGGGGTCTGGTCGTGGGGCCTGAACTCTGGGCCTGGGCGCTGTCCCTCAGCTCTTCAGCTCAAGGCTAGAGCTCTACCACTTGAGCCACAGCGCTACTTCCGGCTTTTTTTCCTTTTTTCTTATGTGGTGCTGGGGAATTGAACTCAGGGCCTCATGCATGCAAGGCAAGCGCTCTACCACTGAGCCACCTTCCCAGCCCTTGATTTGCTTTTTTGCTACTACTTGAGCCACAGCTCCAGGCTTTTTGCTGGTTGCCTGGAGATAATAGTCTCACAGATTTGTTCCCCCCAGGCTGTCTTTGAACCTTGATCTCAGCCTTCTGACTAGCTAGGATTCCAAGCTTTGCCCAGAGATTGTGTTTGCTGTTTCTTCCTGTGTATTTGTTTACTTTCAAGAGCAGATCTATTCTGTGTCTCGGATTGTATGACTTAGAGTCCTTTAGGTACAAGGGGTGGAGGGGAAGGCCTGTTAGAGCCCCCAAAGAGAATTTGAGCAGTTTGTTATCAGAGCTTGAAAAGACATTTAGAGGATAATCTATTATAGAATGGTTAATCAAAGTTTCAGTGGTCTGGGAACCGCAGTGAAACTTAAGTATAACATACTTCTCCCCCTTGGCAACTTTTTGGTTGGTCATATTTTATTGTCTTTGCTAACAATGCAGGCCTGGGGCTTGAACTCAGGCACTGTCCCTGAGCTATTTTGCTCAAGGCTAAGCCACAGCTCCATTTCTGGCTATTTGCTGTCTTATTGGAGATAAGAGTCTTGGCAGTTTGCTGATAAATTGGAGATGGAATCTCAAGGATTTTCCTGTCTGAGCTAGCTTCAAACTAGGATCTTCAGATCTCCTGAGTTGCTGGGATTACAGGTGTTAGCCACAAGTGCCTGGCAAAAACAGGGCTTTTCTAAAGCTCCACATAAGGAAAATGTTCTGAATCAGAGAGAGATTAACTTCTGTTCCTTTCAACTTTACCAGCTAATCATTCAATGAGGCTTTGATGGCTCATACCTGTAGCCCCAGCTACTGAAAAGGCTAAGACCTGGAGGAAAGGGATTTGAAGCCAGCTAGGGGCAGAAAAGTCCTTGAGAATCCATCCTAATTAACCAGCAAAATGCCAGACTGGAGGCATGGCTCAGGTGGTAGAACACTAGCCATGAACAAGAAAGCTAAATGAGAGTCCCCAGGCCCCTAAGTTAAAGCTTCAGTATTAGTGCATGCACACGCGTGTGCACACGTGTACACACACACACAACACACACCAATAATTTGTATCAAATTCAAAATTGTTCTCATATCCTTAGCACTTGGGAAGTGAAATTTAATTTCAGGCTTTCCTCTAGGAGTTAATACTTCAGTTCATCTTACAATCTGAATCCAGGCCTTACACCAGTTTATATTTATTTATTTTTGTTGGTCATGGGGCGTGAATTTAGGGCCTACGTGCTATCCCTGAGCTTTTTTGCTCAGGGCTAGCACTCTACCATTTTGAGCCGTAGCACCACTTTTACTTTTCTAATGGTTAACTGGAGATAAGAGTCTCTTGGAATTTTCCTGCCTAGCCTGGCTTCAAATGGTGATCCTCAGATTTCAGCCTTGAGAGTAGATAGGATTACAGGTGTAAGCCAGTAACACCTGGCTAAAATTCCTTTAAAAGTCTTAAGTCCCAAACAGTTGGACAGGATATACTGGTTCCCATATATTGCAGGTGCAAAAATGGTTTTAAAACCTTTAGACTTTGTAACAATATCTTTAGTCAACAAAGGCTGGGCAGCTTAATTTTGCTTCTGAAAACAACAAATGCTGTGGTTAAAATTAAGGGTGGGAAATTATTGTCAAAAAGGAAACAACAATCCAGGCATCAGTGGCCCTTGTTTGTAATCTTAGCTGTAATTCAAGTGGTAGAATGCTAACCTTGAGCAAAAAAGCTCAGGTATCAACACCCAGGCCCTGAGTTCAACCCCAGGACCAAAACAAAAATAAATAAATAAATAAAAGCTGGGCACGGATGGTTCACCTCTGTAATCCTATCTACTCAGGCTGAGATTTGAGGGTCATGGTTCAAAGCCAGCCAGGCAGGAAAGTCCATGAGACTCTTACATTTAGTTAATCAGGGAAAAAAAAGCCAGAAGTGGAGTTGTGGCTCAAGTGATAGAGCATTAGCACCAAGTCCACAACCCACTAAATCAATCAATCAATCATCAATCAGTGTATGCCAGAAGTAGCGCTGTGGCTCAAGTGTTAAGAGTGCACACCTTGAGCTGAAGAGCTCAGGGACAGTGCCTAGGCCCTGAGTTCAAGTCCCATGACCACCACCACCACCAACAACAAAAAGTAGTATAGAGAAACACTGGTGTCTTGAGAAAATGCATTTAAACCAGTCCCTTTCTTCTCTGCCTCCTTTTCTGCTTCTCGTTTGTTTTCTGCCAGGTATAATGTCAAGTGGAGATGCGCACCCGTCCCCGGCCCTCGCCAAGCCCACGTTCACCGAGCCACAGGCCTCTGCGCTGGTAGAGTCTGTGTTTGGGTTCAAAGTGTCCAAGATCCAGCCACTTCCCAGCTATGATGACCAGAACTTCCACGTTCACATTTCACGCCCCAAAGATGGTGCGGACAGGCCCCTGGAGTATGTCCTCAAAATCAGCAACACGGAATGCAGCAAGAACGCCGAGCTGATTGAAATGCAGAATGAGATCATCATGTTCCTCAAAGCAGCTGGCTTCCCTACTGCCTCTGTGTGCCGCACAAAAGGAGACAGCACCACGTCCCTCATGTCCATTGGTAAGAGCCCACTGGCTCACCAGGACAGCTCTTGTCCAATCACATGGCTGCATTTTGACCACAGGTAGAAATCACACTCCTAGCTGGGCACCAGTGGCTCATGCCTGTAATCCTGGCTACTCCGGAGGCTGAGATCTGACGATCACAGTTCAAAGCCAGACTGGACAGGAAAGGCCATGAGACTCTTATCTCTAATTAACCACCTGAAAACCAGAAGTGGGGCCTGAGTTTCAAGCCCCAAAACTGATCAAGAGAGTTGACAGAATATGTCATTTTGTGTGTCTAGACAGTGGATCTGGAATCAAAAACCACTTGGTGAGGCTGATGACGTATCTCCCGGGCAGACCCATTGCCGAGGTTCCTGTTGGCCCCCCGTTGTTGTATGAAATTGGAAGACTAGCTGCCAAGTTGGATAAAACGTTGGAGGTAAGATTCGGGATCCTTTTGGTTTAGGAAGGATTTTTGTTTATTGACTCATTCTTTTTGTTGTTGTTGTTGCTAGTGCTTGGGCTTGAATTCAGTGCCTGGGCACTGTCCCTGAGCTCTTTTTCTCAAGGCTAGTACTCTACCATATTGAGCCATAGCACCACATCTAGCTTTCTGATGGCTCATTGGAGATAAGAGTCTGGGGCTAGCTGGGCACCAGCAGCTCACGCCTGTAATCATAGCTATTCAAGGAGGCTAAGATCTGAGGATTGAGGTTCAAAGCCAGCTCCCACAGAAAAGTCCTCATGAGACTCTTTTTATTTATTTTTTTTTGGGGGTCCGGTCGTGGGGCCTGAACTCTGGGCCTGGGCGCTGTCCCTCAGCTCTTCAGCTCAAGGCTAGTGCTCTACCACTTAAGCCACAGGGCCACGTCTGGCTTTTTTTCTTTTTGCTTACGTGGTGCTGAGGAATAGAACCCAGGGCCTCAGGCATGCAAGGCAAGCACTCTACCACTGAGCCACCTTCCCAGCCCCCCTCATGAGACTCTTACCTCCAATTAACCACTCAAAACCAGAAGTGGCCCAGTGGCTCAAGTGGTATAGAGTCCTAACCTTGGGCACAAAGAGGCTCAGGAACAGTGCCTAGGCCCTGAGTTCAAGAGCCACAACCAACAATAAAAAAATAAAAACTAGCCGGGTGCTGGTGGCTCATGCCTGTAAATCCTAGCTACTCAAGAGGCTGAGATCTGAGGATCATGGTAAGCCCGGGTAAGAAAGTCCATGAGGGCTGGGAAGGTGGCTCAGTGGTAGAGCGCTTGCCTTGCATGCATGAGGCTCTGGGTTCGATTCCTCAGCACCACATAAGCAGAAAGTGGTGCTGTGGCTCAAGTGGTAGAGCACTAGCCTTGAGCTGAAGAGCTGAGGGACAGTGCCCAGCTCAGAGTTCAGGCCCCATGACCGGACCCAAAAAGAACAAAAAAACAAAAAAAAAGAAAGTCCATGAGATTCTTATCTCTAACTAACCAACAGAAAACTGGAAGTGGCGTTGTGGCTCAAGTGGTAGAGCACTTGCCTTGAGCTGAAGAGCTCAAGGACAGTGCCCAGGCCCAGAATTCAAAACCCACGACTGACAAAAATAAAAATACAAAGAGTCTGTGGCTTAGTGGTAGAGTGCTTGCCTAGCATGTATGAAGCCCTAGGGTTTGATTCCCCAGTACCACATACACAGAAAAAGCCAGAAGTGGTACTGTTGCTCAAGTGGTAGAGGGTACCCTTTAGCAAAAAGAAGCTGGGACCTAGAGTACAAGCCCCGGGACTGGCAAAAAGAAAAAAAAGGTCTCATGGACTTTCCTGCCTAGGCTGGCTTCGAACCACGATCCTCAGACCTCAGCCTCCTAATAACTAGGATTAGAGGTGTGAGCACTGGGCTCTGGCCAATGGCTGGAATTTTAATTGGAATGATTAGGAAGTCCTTGCATGGAGGCAGTTTTGTTTTTTTGTGGGTTTTTGTTGGTGGTGGTGGTGGTCGTCGTGGAGGTCGTGGAGCTTGAACTCTGGGTTTGGGCTCTGTCCCTGAACTCTTCAGCTCAAGGCTATTACGCTACCACTTAAGCCACAGTGCCACTTCCAGTTTTCTGGTGGTTCACTGGAGATGAGACTCTCATAGACTTTCTTGTGTGGGCTGGCTTTGAACTGTGATCCTCAGATCTCAGCCTCCTGAATAGCTAGGATTACAGGCGTGAGCCACCGGCGCCCAGCACCCGCTGCAGGAGAGGCAGTTTTGAATAAAAGGCCTGGTGGAAATGCAGGACATTAACTAGGCAGATACGGGAGACAGAACCACCAGGGCCAGGCCCTGAGGCTTCTCCAGCAGGTGGCCAAATGTGGTTAGAGTTGAGTAACCAGAAGAGGTAGAAGTAGAGTAGGAGTGGCTAAAGGTCCTGGAGTGAGACATTAAGGCTCATTAAGTAGCCTAAGCCACCTCTGTCTCCAGAGTGCTGGAATTACAGGTATGCCCTACCATGCCTGGTTGCATTTGCCCTATTATAAATAGGGTAGGTCAATGTCCTTGAGAGAAGCTGGTGTTGAAGTGGAGAGTTAAGCCCCCAGCAGATCCCAATGGCGGTGGCTTTGAATGTCTTATCAAGAAGCTGTTTCTTCCTTTTGCTTTAGACATTTCATCACCCCAAACTGAGTCTCCTCCACCGGGAGAATTTCATCTGGAATCTGAAGAATATTCCTCTTCTGGAGAAATTTGTGGATGCCCTGGGCCACAACCGAAACCGGGAGATTGTCGAGCAAGTCATCCAGCTGTTCAAGCAGGAAATCCTCCCCAGATTAAGTCATTTTCGAGAGTGTGAGTTTGCCATTGAGGGAAAGCTATCCTTAATACTTTTTCTTTCTTTCTCTCTCTTTCTTTCTTCTTTCCTTTTTGCTAGTTCTGGGGCTTGAACTCAGGGCCTGGGCACTGTCTCTGAGCCTCTTTGTGCTCAAGGCTAACGCTCTTCCACTTGAGCCACAGCACCATTTCTGAGTTTTTTGAGTAGTTTATTGAAGATGAGAGTCTCACAGACTATTCCTGCCCAGACTGGCTTTGAACCAGGATCCTCAGATCTCAGCCTCTTGAGTAGCCGGGATGATAGGCGTGAGCAGCTTCCTTAAGACTCTTATCTCCAGTTAATGATCAAAAAACCTAGTCACCTGTAATCCTAGCTACTCAGGAGGCTGAGATCTGAGGATCTCGGTTCAAAGCCAGCCCGGGCAGGAAAGACCTTGAGACTCCTGTCTCCAATAAACCACCAGAAAACCAGAAGTGGCGCTGTAGCTCAAGTGGTAGAGCGCTCGCCTTGAGCTGAAGAGCTGAGGGACAGCGCCCAGGCCCAGAGTTCAAGCCCCACGACCGACAAAAAAAAAAAAAAAAGATCAAAAAACCCAAAAGTGCCACTGGGTGCTAGTGGCTCCTACCTGTCATCCCAGCCACTCAGGAGGCTGAGAACTGAGGATCTATGGTTGGAAATCTGCTCGGGACAGTGAAGATCCTAAGAGTCTTACCTCCAATGAATCACCAGAAAATGGGAAGTGGTGCTGTGTGGCTCAAAATGGTAGAGCACTAGCCTTGAGCAACAGAGCTCAGGGACAGTGCCCAGGCCCTGAGTTCAAGCTGTACAACCGGCACTAAGAAAAAAAGGTGTGTGTGGGGGGGGGGGGGGACGGAAGAGAGTGAACTGAACTGTTCTCGTATGCTTGCTCCACCGGCAGGTCTTAATCATGGCGACCTGAATGATCACAACATTCTAGTGGAGGCCAGCAGAGTGCCCTTCGGCGATACCCCGTACCAAGTCTCGGGCGTCTTGGATTTTGATGACATGAGCTTCGGGTACTACGTGTTCGAAGCAGCCATCACCATCATGTACATGATGATCGAGAGCCAGGACCCCCTGCACGTGGGAGGCCATGTGCTCGCTGGGTTTGAGAGTGTCATCCCCCTGACGGCCGTGGAGCGGGCTGCTTTGTACCTCCTTGTCTGCAGCCGCTTCAGCCAGTCCCTCGTTATGGCTGCCCACTCCTGCCAGCTGCACCCAGAGAATGAAGAATACCTCATGATCACGGCCAAAACAGGGTGGAAGCACTTGCAACTGATGTTTGATATAGGCCAGCAAGCTGTAGAAGAGATCTGGTTTCAGACCGCCAAGTCTTATGAATCTGGGCTCCCCCCTCCAGGACTGGATCAAAGTTCACATTAAATTGGATGATCAAACAAACACAACAACAACAAAACACTCAGTGGGTGCTGGGCTGCAGGGCTCACTCCTGTAATCTCAGCTACTATCCCAGTTACTCTGGAGGCTGAGATAGGAGGATCTTGGTTGGAAGGCAGCCTAAGCAGACATATCCAAGAGACTTTTATCCCCAACTAACCAGCAAAAAGCTGGACATAGAGTGCCAACCTTGAGTGAAAAAGCTAAGGCACAGTACCCAGGCCTTGAGTTCCAATACCAGCACACACATACACAAACCTCAGTAGGACCGAGTCAAAATTTGTGAAGGAACTTTTTCCCCTACATCGATAGGGAAGATTCATTGTGAATATTCATGGAGCACATAAAACCTCTAAGATCTTCAAGTCATCTCTCATGATTACTGCTAAACCTTGAGTATAACTTGAGTATAACTTGGGTGCTAGTGACTCACATCTGTACTCCTAATTACTCAGGAGGCTGAGATCTGAGGATTGTAGTTCAAAGTCCTTGGGATGCTTATTTCTCATTAACCACCAAAAAGCCAGAAGTGGAGCTATGGTTCAAGTTGGTAGAATGCCAACCTTGGGAGAGAAAGCCAAATAAGAACATGAGGCCCTGAGTCCAAGCCCCAGTACTGGCACAAAAAAACAAACAAAACTTGAGATGGAAGCAGACTCAGACTCTGGAACTCCAAAGACAGATGCTTCCACTATAAGCAAGGGAAAGCTGCCTAAATAGAAGAAATTTTCAAGCTGGATCACAGTTTGAAGCCAGCCTGGACAGGAAAGTCCCTGAGACTCTTATCTCTATTTAACCAGCAAAAAGGACAGAAATGGAGCTGTGGCTCAACTGGTAGAGCACTAGCCTTGGGCACAAAAACTCAGGGACAGCAACCATGCCCTGAGCTCAAGCCCCAGCAGGACTGGCACCAAAGGAAAAGTTTGCAGGCTGATCCCAGAAAGGTCCCTCTGCTGATTTTATTTTTTTTTTGAGACATGGTTTCACTACATTGCCCAGACTGGTCTCATATTCCTAGCCTAGCATCCACTACTGGTACTACAGGCACATCCAACATGCCCCTACCAGATATTTTTCATTTTCTGTAATATATGTGTATGTGTGTATGAATATATAAAGTCAGTAAAACTATCTTTATAATTGGTTTAAATTATACCACTGTGTTTCCTTCACTGATTCCTCTTAACAGCTCTCAGTATAATTTAGTAAATGGCTGTTTGCTTATATTTAGGGTTTTGTTGTATTTCGTTTGAAACAGGAAGTCTAAATTATTTGAGCTAGACTCAAAGTCTTGGGCTCAAGTGATCATTCTGCTTTAGACTGCAGAGTAGCAGGGATTATAGGTGTGTACTATGACATGCTATTCATTTTCTTTTTTTTTTCAAACTGAAATCCTCAGATCTCAGCCTCCTGACTAGCTAGGATGACAGGCATGAGCCACTGATGTCCAGCTACATGCTATTCATTCTTATAGTTTGAACTACCCATTCTTTGTAGATAACACTGGAAGCCTAAGTACTCAAACACCCTGTCCATAGTTACCTATTGGATATGTATGAATAGCGATGATTCTGTAAGTAATGATTCTGCCTGCCAGCCTGTCTATACTTTCCAAAATTACATCTCTCTGACTCTACTTGCATTGTACCTTTTTAATATTTCTAATGCCTCAGTCTCTTTTTCTGTAAGATCAAGGTACTTGTCTCATGATTAGTTGTAAAGACTTCATGAGACTATGCCAAGCCAGGTAGCTCACACCTGTAATCCTAGCTATTCAGGAAGCTGAGATATGATGGTGGTTTGAAGCGAGTCCTGACAGAAAAGTCCATGAGATTCTTTTTTTTTGGGGGGGGGGGGGGGCCTGGTCGTGGGGTCTGAACTCTGGGCCTGGGCGCTGTCCCTCAGCTCTTCAGCTCAAGGCTAGCGCTCTACCACTTGAGTCACAGCACCACTTCCGGCTTTTTTCTTTTTGCTTATGTGGTGCTGAGGAATCGACCCCAGGGCCTCTGGCATGCAAGGCAAGCGCTCTACCACTGAGCCACCTTCCCAGCCCTCCATGAGATTCTTATCTCCAATAAACTACCAGAAAACAAAAACAAAAAACAACGAAGTAGAGCCCCGGTGTCAGTGGCTCATGTTTGTCATCCTAGTTACTCAGGAGGCTGCAATCTGAGGATCATGGTTAGAAGCCAGCCCAGGGAAGGAAAGCCTGTAAAACTATTTATAGCCAATTAACCACCAAAAAAGCCAGAAGTGGCTCAAGTGGCAAAGTGCCAGCCTTGAGCACAAATGCTCAGGAACAGCAGCCATGCCCTGTGTTCAAGCCCCAGAACTGGCACAAATAAAAATAAGATTGGAGGGCTGGGAAGGTGGCTCAGTGGTAGAGCACTTGCCTTGCATGCCAGAGGCCCTGGGTTCGATTCCTCAGTACCACATAAGAAAAAAGCCGGAAGTGGTGCTATGGCTCAAGTGGTAGAGCACTAGCCTTGAGCTGAAGAGCTGAGGGACAGCACCCAGGCCGAGTTCAGGCCCCACGGCCGGACCCAAAAAAAAAAAATTAAAAAAAAAAAAAAGATTGGAAAGGAGAGGTAGGTATTGAACAAACATGGCCAGTTCAGCAAAAATAAAATACTGCATTTTGATACTAACAAGGGAAATAACATTCAGAAGCAGAGACCAAAATGAACACACACAAAAGTGAGCCTAGTCATGATTGTTTTATATACTTAACAAATGATGGGCAAGAGGCTGTGAGGACCAAGTTTTAAAACTTTTTTTAGCCAGTCACTGGTGGCTCACGCCTGTAATCCTAGCTACTCAGGAGGCCGAGATCTGGGGATCATGGTTCAAAGCCAGCCTGGGCACGAAAGTCCGTGAGACTCATCCCCAATAAACCTAGAAAACCAGAAGTGGTACTGTGGCTCAAGTGGTAGAGTGCTAATCTTGAGCTGAAGAGCTGAGGGACAGTGCCCAGGCCCAGAGTTCAAGCCCCATGACTGACAAAAAAAAAATTGTTTTTCTTGTTACTATAAAGGTGATGGACACAAGGGTTAGTTACATAAGTCAAGCAAGGAGAACGTTGCTTCCCTTTTTTTTTGTTTTTTTTGTCAGTGGTAGGGCTTGAACTCAAATCTTCAGCTTGAGCTAACGCTCTACCACTTGATCCACAGCACCACTTCTGGTTTTCTGGTGGTTCATTGGAGATAAGAGTCTCACGAACTTTCCTGCCTGGGTTGGCTTTGAACTGCAATCTTCAGATCTCAGCCTCCTGAGTAGCTAGGAGTACAGGTGTGAGCCACCAGTGCCCAAAAAGGATTACATTTCTTTTTGGACCATATCCCCCCTTCCCTCGATCTCTCCTGTTTTTCCAACTCACTTCCCACAGTTGTGTAGTTCACTTTCCACAGTGTCCAGTGAGAACCACTGCTGCATTTGTCCACCCTTCATCCCTCTGTGCCGTTTCTCCACCCCACCACTCCCAAGACAGAGAAATCAACAGGACAAAAAGATGGGCTGGGAATCTGGCTTAGTGGTAAAGTGCTTGCTAAGCATGCATGAAGCCCTGGGTTCAAGTCCTCTGTACCACATACACAGAAAAAAGCCAGAAGTGGTGCTGTGGCTCAGGTAGTAGAGTGCTAGCCTTGAGCAAAAGCAGCTCAGGGACAGTGCCCAGGCCCTGAGTTCAAAAGAAAAGAAAAAAAAAGCAACAAAGAAAAAAAATCCACTTCTTTGCATTTCCTGGAGTTCATTTCAATAAATATTGTTTTGTTTTGCTTAGAACCTGAAAAGAAAATCTTTTTTTTTTTAATCATAAAGATGCCGTGCAGAGGGATTACAGTTGCATGAGAAAGGCAATGAGTACATTTCTGGTCGAGCATCAATCCATACTATTTTACACGATCAGAAGCACATAGGCGTGGGGCCTTTGTGTCCCTCTCCTAAGAGCCGTCCTCCTTTGGTCTCCCTGAGTGTGAAGCCTGGAGTCCTGTGTCATATGGTGAGGACGTCCACGGACAGGTAAATCCAAGAGACTCTCCTGGCACAAAAGCCAGAACCGGAGGCGTAGTTCAAGCAGTAGAGCTTCAGCTGCGCTGTGTGCGTGTGCATATGCGCGCGTGCGTGTGTGCGTGCACGTGTGTACGTGTGCGCCTGTATGCGCGTACGCACACGTGTGCACGTGTGTGCACGTGTGCGCATATGCATAAGTGTGTGCGCATGTGTGTGCACGTGTGTATGTGTGTGCACGTGTACGCATGCATGTGTGCACGCATACGTGTGTGCACATGCGCGCATGTATGTGCGTACACATGCGTGTGTGCATGTGTGTGCGTGCACATGCGTGTGTGCATGTGTGTGCTGGGGGGGGTGGCGGGGAGGGAGACCAAGTTCAAGGCCCCCGCATTCAAGACGCAGGGCCCAGCACAAAATAACGAAGGACGCGGACCTCAGCGGGTGCCAGGCCCGAGCTGGGGGCAGGGCGCGGGCCTCGGTGGGGCCTGAGCTCCGGGCAGGGCGCAGCGGGGCAGGGCGTGGGCCTCGGTGGGGCCGGGCCTGAGCTCGGGGCAGGGCGCGGGCCTCGGTGGGGCCTGAGCTCGGGGCAGGGCGCGGGCCTCGGTGGGGTCGGGCCTGAGCTCGGGGCAGGGCGCGGGCCTCGGTGGGGCCTGAGCTCCGGGCAGGGCGCGGGCCTCGGCGGGGCCAGGCCCGGGGCAGGGCGCAGGCTGGGATTCCACTCGGTCCTCACAGGGAAGACAAACGCGAATGAGGGTTCAGCTCCGTGGGACAGCGCTGGCCCGGCCCTCAGCTCTGCCAACACCTAAGATCAACTGAACTCCCGACTCCTCCTCTCCCGGCGCCCCGCGTCCAGGGCCACAGCACGCACCCCGCGCCCGCCCGGCCCCGCGCATGCGCCGCCCCGGGCGATTTCCCCCCCCCCCCCCCCGCGCCGGTTCCCGGGTGCCCGGCGCCGCCGGCCCCGCCCCCACGCCCACTTCCGTG